TATTCGGGATCCTAGGAATATTTGTAACCCTAGGAATCTTAGGGATTTTAAGAATTTTAAGAATCTTATAAATCTTAGGAATATTTGGAATTTCAGCAATTTTTCGAATTTTCTCAATTTTGATTATAAAATTTCAAGTTTCGCCAATTATGCTATCATTGTACAACCCAAGCTTCTTTAACCACTCATATTTTCCTATTTAAATTTCCCTATTTCCCTATTAAATTCGTCATCTACAAGAGTCAAACTTTTTCAAAATTTAAAGCCGCCAGAGACGATAAATTTTGACCTAGATTTACGAAGCAATTTTTTCCAAAGATGCACACACAGCAAAGAATTTCGCTGCAGCGATCGGTTCTGGAAATAGGGCAAATTCGATGTTGCTACAATCCTTTTTTCGCGATATCACGGCAAAGAACGCAAGCAACGTAAAAACGTAATAGGTAATAAAACGTTCGGTGAAGGGTAGTAAAAGTGATCGAGATCCGGTTGTTGTGGAAGCACCAGGAAGGGAGTAAAAATAATTGGCCGGTCGGGTTAGCTGAAAGTGTGTTAATGGAATCCTCTTTAGCTTAGTATTTTTATTTTAGTGACCAAAACAAGAGGCGATGAAATTAAATTGGGTACACTATATATTTCCCTCTCTCGTGCACGAAACTTTACGCAGTATAATTATCCCAAAAATATATTTTAATCCTCGTTTTCCCGGACAAAAATGAACAATTTATTTCTAATCTCTCTTCCTTTATTTACTCCAAATAACTAACTCCAAAGTTCGCAATTATTGTTAAAGTTCCATTATCCCTATTTCTAGACTTAATTACGTACATTACGTTCTGGCCCCCATATTTTTCCTACATTTGGTTAATTACGAATATTTATGGGGTACCATTAACTACGAATTTACTTCAATTTTCACTTTCCACGGAATTATCCATCATTTGTCTTATAATTATTCAATGTATGATATATTTATTATACATACATTTATACATACATATATATATATATCATACATTGAATAATTATAGGACAAATGATGGATATATTGGGCTGTCCGGAAAGTTCGTGCCGATTTTTAGTAGATGGTCTGAATATATCAGTACGATTGAAAACAAATAACATACGTACATATATTAAAAGAGGGTACTTTAGGCATATTTGGACAAAAATTTGGATACTATGTATTAAATCTCTTACGTTCCAATTTTTCTTGAAAATCGGCACGAACTTTTCGGACACCCGATATAATGTGACCGAGTGCCACCTAGTGTGAACGATATTTAAAAAAATGTTTAGAAGAATGTGCAAAGATAAAAGAATTGTCTGTGAAACATCAAAGAGTGAACACGTAAAATTGCTAGTGATCAAGAGTAAACAAGTGGGAGAAGAAATTTGTAGAAAGAGTGCAACGTTTTTATTATTTAAAATAGTTTATTATTTAAATAGTTTAACAGGAAACATATTTTCCGAGTTACTCGTGTAAAAGCTCTCGTATATTATTGTCCATTCTGCACACGATCTCCTTTGTGACTTTTATGTTGTCAATTTCCATTTAATCGCTTATTAATAACCCTCTCTGTGTCAAAGGGAATAACCAAGTGTCAATCAGAGTTAGACCTCGGTTTCAAATTTCGCGCGTTAATTTCTCCCGAAATTCTTCTTTAACAACGAACGCGATTTATCGAAATTTTATGAAAAACTGGCAAATTCGCTCCATTTTTGAGCCAATTTTTCGATGGCGGATGGGAGTTAACGTGGAGCACGTGCGAGAGGATCGTTATTAAACATCGACGCTTTGACATTATTACCGCCAGACCGACGTAATTGCGCCGCTAATTTACTTGTGAGCAATTTAGGGGATAATTAGTCGTTCGACTAGCGTCAAGCACGGCTTCCGTTTATCGCGAGGATCGCGGGTGGACCACGCGCGCTCCACTTCCGGTCTCCGAGACGAGAACGATCTTCCGGAAATTTTGTTGGCTGCGGAAATAAAAAATGTCCGGTGTCTACGCCACTGTAGAGAGGTTTGGTGAGTTTGCAAAATTTCATCCGATATTTTCCGACGCTCGTGCTATTTTTAAATTCCAATTTTCGACGACGTCGAAAGAGCGGGAATTTTAAAATTAGATAAACAGCACTTTGTGGTTAAGAGGAAAAACGTCGCGCGTCGTAGGCATTCGATCAAAGTGCTAATTTTTAGTAATTTTTTAGTAACTTTTTTTAGTAATTCTTTAGAGGGGGAGATAATATGTAAAGTTAGAATAAAAAAGGCGATGTTTTTTCAAAATTGTGACCTGAGGAGTTTTTCCATACTGTCATAGATTTATTAGTGCGCACAGATCAAAATTTCGAACGCTTTTTTATTTTTTATTCCATTTTTGTGTTTTCGATGTATGCATAGAATGTCCCAAAATTCACGCAAGATTTAAATTTTCTGCCGTTTGTGTGGTAAAGTGTTGTCAACGAGAAAAACAGGCAGGATGACAGCTGACAGTTCAGGGTTATTAAAAATGGAACAACGAAAGAACATCGCGTTTTCACTGTTGAGCAATATTTTTAGTTTTTAATTAAAAACTTGTATTTTCTACAAAAAATTCCGTTTTTTAAATTTTCGTGACTGGAGAGAAACTTGGCTCAGGAAATCGAAATATTCTTTCCTAATTTAAAAGAAATATGCTCGTTTTATTTCCTGTCCTCATTTTTTGAATTTTCGAAGCTACCAAAATATAAGAGCTAAGAAATGTTAGTGCTTTTTATTGATTGAAAACTATTAATTCGCTTTTCATTCCGTTCCTAAATTTCGTGAGCTTTTAAGAAACAGAAGTTTTAAAAATCAAAATACTTTTTACTGATTAAAAAAATATAAAAGAATTTACTGAAAAAAGAATTTAAAATTAATAAAATAGGTACTAAACTTCTGAATTTTATCGAAAACTCGCTCTTATTTACCCGGAAAATTTCTGCAAAGAAGTTATATCTCGATAGGAAACCCAATTTCGGGATTTTGCAATTACGACGGAATTTTATTTGGATTCAGAATGCCATCCTGGACGCCGCCAGCGCTGGGACGTTACTTAGCAATTTCGAGGATGGTAATTTACTTCGTTATAACTTACGACGTCGAGTTACTCTCCGCGGCACAGTCGAGTAGGAGTACAATGATGTTGCTAATGCTGTTTCTCAACGTTCCACAGGCACGAATTCGAAGCAGAGTGCCCATAGAAATTGCCGGCAGCGACGACAATTAATAATTCCATTTTCGAGGGCCATTTTAAAAAAAAATATTTCTCGCTCGTTTAATACCTCTCTTTATCTGAAATCATTTTATTCGCTTCACAAAGCAGGGTACATTTGTTATTAACCTCGAATTCCCTGACTGTGAGAAGTACAACTATATTTATTTCAAAAATACGTATTTCTTTGTAGAACTCAGTTTCGAATTTTTAAACCTTTTTAACTCTGGATTACTTCAGTGTGAATTGTGCATTGTAATTGGTCACGTGGTCCGATGAAAAATATTCGTTTATTATGATACACGTAGATTTGAATATTTCGCGCCTTTGTATTATTTGAAATTCAAAGATGGCGGGTCTTCGCTAGATATTCGCCTGAGTACAGTTTTGGATCTTCGTCTGAGCAATCTCGAGTTAATATTTAGAAACACGTGGATATTTTTATTTAATATTAGTCTCGTAAATTATTATTAAATTATTTATTTAATATTATATTCGTAAATTCAAAATTGTACCATTCGTTTTCTGGGACTATGATTATGGTCCAGTCGAGGGTCATTTTGCTTTTTCAGCGTTACCTTCATTGTCTGTCTTATTTTGTAAAATTGGTTTTGGTTGGTTTAATAAAGGGAATGTTATTTTCGTCCAGATGGGATTATAGAAAATGGAAGTTAATTGGGGAATCGATAGGTGTCGAGGTATCAGAGATCGTCGTCGGAGTCCCGAAATCGCTCGTATTTCGCCACTGATTTCTGAAAGGTCTCGTAATCCTTATTTACCCGGAAAATTTCTGCAAAGAAGTTATATCTCGATAGGAAACCCAATTTCGGGATTTTGCAATTACGACGGAATTTTATTTGGATTCAGAATGCCATCCTGGACGCCGCCAGCGCTGGGACGTTACTTAGCAATTTCGAGGATGGTAATTTACTTCGTTATAACTTACGACGTCGAGTTACTCTCCGCGGCACAGTCGAGTAGGAGTACAATGATGTTGCTAATGCTGTTTCTCAACGTTCCACAGGCACGAATTCGAAGCAGAGTGCCCATAGAAATTGCCGGCAGCGACGACAATTAATAATTCCATTTTCGAGGGCCATTTTAAAAAAAAATATTTCTCGCTCGTTTAATACCTCTCTTTATCTGAAATCATTTTATTCGCTTCACAAAGCAGGGTACATTTGTTATTAACCTCGAATTCCCTGACTGTGAGAAGTACAACTATATTTATTTCAAAAATACGTATTTCTTTGTAGAACTCAGTTTCGAATTTTTAAACCTTTTTAACTCTGGATTACTTCAGTGTGAATTGTGCATTGTAATTGGTCACGTGGTCCGATGAAAAATATTCGTTTATTATGATACACGTAGATTTGAATATTTCGCGCCTTTGTATTATTTGAAATTCAAAGATGGCGGGTCTTCGCTAGATATTCGCCTGAGTACAGTTTTGGATCTTCGTCTGAGCAATCTCGAGTTAATATTTAGAAACACGTGGATATTTTTATTTAATATTAGTCTCGTAAATTATTATTAAATTATTTATTTAATATTATATTCGTAAATTCAAAATTGTACCATTCGTTTTCTGGGACTATGATTATGGTCCAGTCGAGGGTCATTTTGCTTTTTCAGCGTTACCTTCATTGTCTGTCTTATTTTGTAAAATTGGTTTTGGTTGGTTTAATAAAGGGAATGTTATTTTCGTCCAGATGGGATTATAGAAAATGGAAGTTAATTGGGGAATCGATAGGTGTCGAGGTATCAGAGATCGTCGTCGGAGTCCCGAAATCGCTCGTATTTCGCCACTGATTTCTGAAAGGTCTCGTAATCCTTTTTTTCATTTTGCTGAGCTAGCAATTTTCTCCTTTCCAAGGTGAGGTATATTAGCAGAGGGCAGTAGCCGACGTTCATTAAGCCGATGATTCGCATCACCCACTGGAAACCGATCGTCTTTACCATTTCTCCACCCACGATGGGCCCTTGAACGAATATTCATATCGCATAAATTAATTAATGTGAATTGATCGAGATATTCGAAAAATTTCAATCTATTACGAATTTTTCGTGCAATTGAAAACCGAGAAGTTGAAATATTTTTAATAATTTTGATATTCGGTTTAAAATTGCTTTTAATATTCCTTATTTTATAATGGTACAAAATTGAGATTTGTTTGAATTATTATCTTCACTGTGTTTCTTAATACTATTTAGATATTTCGATATCATTCAACGTTCTATTTCTGTGTACCAATTTTAATAGAAATATTTCACCAAGAATGAAGAATCTTGATTAGGGTCCAGTGTAAAAATTTTTACCTTGTTCGAATATTCTTACTTAATTAAAAAATTTAGAAGTTGACATAATTTAATATCTACGATAATATTATTTAATGCTAGCTTTAGTATCCCAATGTATTAATTTTTAATAGAAATATTTCACCAAGAGTGAAGAATCTTGATTAGCGTCCATTGCAAAAATTTCCACCTATTTCGAATATCCCCACACATAATTAAAAAGTTCAGAGATTAGGATGCTTCTATTAATCTCCATACTTATTCCAATATTACATAATCTTAATTTCAAAAAAGATATCTCATCGCTGGCCAAGAATCTCGACTGAGCTCCACTATTGGTATATCTTTAGGCAAAAGGATGAGATGGCTTACCAAGAGAATAGGCCAGACTAACAGCCACTTGTTGAATCGAGTAAACAGGTCCATAATTGCCATTTTGGTCCACCAGGCTGGCTAACAATGGCACCAGAGCAGCGTCTGCCACTCCGATACCCAAACCCATTCCTAGATGCGGAACTATCAGTTGCGACATTGTCTGGGCGGATGGTATCAAAATGGCGCTTATGCCGACCAACAGCATGGCCAGAACAGCGATCTTGCTTCGTCCATAGCGATAGGCTATCATGCTGAAAAAGTTGGTCCCAACTAGGTAGCCCACGCTGTCTGGGATGAACACCGTGCCCAGCTGCCATTTCTGAAAGAAACGAATTTTCACGTGGTCCACTCTTATATATTATATAAGAGTAAATAAAACTAAATGTATCAGGCGAAGTAAAAAGAAATCCATTATTTTTACATTCAATTTCATGCAAAAATAATGGATTTCTTTTTATAAATACAAATACTGGAATATTCAGGTGATGGCCAACATTGTTAACTTACTTCATATTTCATTATATTAGGTGAAGTAAAAAGAAATCCATTATTTTTGCACGAAATTGAATGCCTTCGCCCAATATTAAATATTTATTGAACGATATCATAGCACAGGGTGAAAATTAACCCTTTGCACTCGACGATTTTTTGGCTAGAGAAGAGTAGAAAATCAAAGATTCTCTACTAAAAAACTGACGATACTTTTTGGAGCAGTAAATAAAGAATTGTATAATAATAGAATTGTAGAATTATTTGATTTCGATACTTTGCACACTGTTGCATTACATTAAATTTGATATATTAATTAATATCGATCTTCCAAATTTTATGAAATGGTGACTGATGGTCACCTCTCGAGTGCAAAGGGTTAATTAATTATGAATGAAATATGTCGAATTGCGTTTGCTTTTTCTCACGATACTCTCGATCAATTCTGATTTGCAACTGACCTATCCAACTACTCTCTCATTTCTTTTCTTCTCTTTCATATATTACATAAATATACGCTATATTTGTATACTTCATTCGTTACACGCATACTTGACACACTCATTCTTCCTTACAGACATCATTTATTTTTATATCATTTTATATATATTAAAATCTATGTCATACCACAAAAGATTCGTCAAATTATCGACAGATTAGAGAGACTTAATTTTCTTTCATCTATGGAAGAAATAAAGTAAACCTTGGGTTTGATGTGAGTTCGTAGCCAGATTGGTAAGCAGGGCTCTAAGATAGCCATTGGTGTCGTCGAACACCATATAGCTCCAAAGATGATTAGGATATACGGGTCGGTCAACAGATGTGTCCAAGACGTTTCTCTCTCGTTCGACTGAAAATTTCATTACTCTTTTTGCAAATGGAAGCTTCGAAATTTCGACAAGTTACAGAATTATCTTCCTTAACCCTTTGACTACAGCATACTTTGAAGCTAGCCATATTATACTGTTACAGATCGCGTTTACAATTCTTGTTCTACAAGTTCGGTCGCTAAATTGTCGAAGATTTCCAATGAAAACGTCACTGAATAGATTACCCCTGTTGAAAGGTTGACAGCTCTATCTGAACTTCGGTGGAAGATGTTTTTACAGTCAACAGACGATTCTTATTTTGTCCGAATATTCTGAAAGGTGCTGGATTGTTCTATCCTGAAGTTACGATCCGTTCTTTACTTGGTCAAACACCGGGTAGATATGATAATCTCGTATCAATACTATAGTAGGAATATTATAATAGGAATCCATTTGCAATGTGCATCAAGAACGGCAAAACTTTAAGGTATCATTTCTGAGAAATTATTGTATATTCAAATAATAATGAAAATACTAAATTCCTATATAACTATATTAAAACAACGTTATTTATTTCTTCGTATTCTGCATTAAATTGATACCGTATTTACTTAAAATTTCACAGCAAAAAAGACTTCTGAGTGCCTTTAGACGCCCACAGTATCACAAGTGCAAGATTTCTAAGCGCCTTTAGGCGCCCGCAGTAGTCAAAGGGTTAAGTCGCTATTATACCTGTATAAATACATTCTTATACGGAGTACTATCTTTATTCCGATATAACTAGTAGCCAATTACTCGGTAAATAATCGTACAATAATTTAATAATAATTTCAATCAGAGAAAAATAATTCGCTCTTAACTCTTTCGCTACTACGGGTGACTATAGTCACCTGTCACGAGACTAGACGCCATCTACACACGAGGGGTGACTATAGTGACCGGCCACAAAAATTGCGCCAAAAGTTAAAACAAATGCTACCGTTTCGCTTAGCTCTCTTCGCAAAGAATTGCAAACTCTTTTCCTTTTTCTTTTTTTTTTCAAAAGATTTGGCCCCAAATGCTAATGACTACGTGCGCGTAATGTTTCCATCTTCGACACGATGCTTCCTTCTACAGGATAGACTTAATAGCGATATCCACTATAGCGAAAGGGTTAATGAGAGGAAAATAATTCGTTCTTAGTCAAAAGAAAATAATTCACTTCTAATCAGAAGAAAATATCACGCGGGTATAATACTTGCCTCGGTGTTCATTTCGACGTCCAACGTAAAGACCTGCAAACCTGAAAGGAAGCCGCCATTAAAATTCACCGAGGAAGCTCCTCCAATTCCCTAGATTCCCTAGCAATGGCATAAAATCGTTAATCTTTAAAAACACAGAGATTTCGAGAGATTCGTTGAAAGGAATTGCAAAATACGGAACGTTCGACAGGAAAATGGAGGAGCACGTACATACGGCGACGATGATGAAACAGGACACCAGCAAGAAAGGTGCCATTTTCCCCTCGAGATCGTAGAGCACGGAGCCAATCGGATATCCGACGAGGACACCCAGCGCGATGCTTCCAAGCACGAAGCCCATGATCTTCGACCTCTTGTCCTCTTCTTGGTACTGAGACGCGACCAGTGACATCCCGGAAACGCCGATGCACGCGGAGGAAATGCCCTGGATGCTTCGAGCGAGGAAGAGCACTTCGTAAGTTTGCCCGAACGCGAACACTGCAATAGTCGTCGTATTCAGAAGACGTCGCTGTTGTACTTTCAGCCAAGTACCATTTGTACTTCGAGTACCTCGAGTACTCTATAACATATAACACGGAGCTGGTGCCATTGCAAAATGACCCCGTATTCATCTTCGTTTCGTTATCTCTGCGATCCTCTTTCTCAGCGATTCACCTGAATTTCTAGGTTTCGATTGATTTAGATTTCGTTTAGAGGGTTCAGAGGTACAAGGAAATTTTGGATCGAGAATAACGCAAAATGGCACTCGGTCGTTTGCGTTTTGGTTTATTTATTAGTGGGTTTGCAGGAATTCTGGGACTTATTGTTAGTGAAACGAACTTACGTATTGCAGCCAATAGGAGGCTTAGGTTCCCAAGGAACAGAGGCTTGGTGTAACCCAAAGAGCCCGTGAGGGTGCCCACTGCTGGATTTAGTATTAATTGCACCAGCGCCTTTGAGCTTAACAATAATCCCACCCGACTGTTCTCGTCGTTTTCACCGTTTGTCGTCGAGTTTCCGTCCAGGGTGCAAAGGAAATCGGGAATAATTGGCACTGAAAATTTTTTAATCCTCTGGATAAGTATTTCGTGCCATTCACTGGCTAGTGAAATGTTTTTTCATATTCTATTTTTTTAAATCGGGAAAATCCGTTACCATTAATTACCATTTAACATATTTACTACTACATAATTGCAATGTTAGTAATTATTGCGGATATTATATACAGGGTGGGAAATTTGTTTTGGAATAATTGAATATCTTAATATTTTTAATTCATAAAAATAGAAATAGAAATATGTTTCTAAGGATGTCTTTTAATTTTATATACACGACTTCGAGATTATTTGAATCTTAGTCATTTTCATTTTTTAAAAGGAATTTTTTCGTGAAAAATTAGTGACTTTAGTTTAAAATATTTTTTAAAATATCCGGAAAATTTTTCAAACATCGTATTATTCTCAAAAGTTTTCCAAAATTAATTTCCCTTACTTTATTCTAAATTTTATACGGCTTTGGACAAATGACTTCCAATAATTAAGAATTATGGTGTCTAATAAGTGTTTTCATAGCATTTGGAAAAATTTTAATCATCTTCGACGAATTAACTTGCAATAATTAACGAGCAAAAATTGTCACACCCCCTGTTGGATTCTGGAAAATTTTAAAAAATTCCTTTCCCTCGTATTTCATTCGGAATTTGAATCATCTTCGGGGTAATGATTGGAGAGTTTTGAAGATCGATTTACCAACAACCGTGAGCAACACGTTGTCCAAGAAGAGGCTCAGATACACCACAGTGACGACGAGTGCCCTGGAGCTGCTTCCTGTCTCCATCATCCTGGTCCACGTTAAGCCGGATTCTCAACGAGCCAAAGCCCTGCAGCACTCGATTACGGTCACTCGGAGCTTGCAGGGACATAGTCTGTTGCGAATCGACAGCCGCATACCCTCGATCGACGAAATTTCCTTCCACCTTTCACGAGATCACACGGTCGATCCGTGGAAGCTGCGGGAATTTCCTTCCTCCGATAGCAGAAACAGGGCTGTATACGTGACTGGAAAGCGGACCAGTCCCGATCGTGCTTTTATAGCTAGGATGGCCGCGTCCTTGCGCAGAAGCTTTTTCAGAAAACGCGAGTTCGAACGCGGATGTCGTTGGGCCCCCGACGACTTTCACGAGCCGATGCACTTTTCCATTTATAGTTGTTACGGCTGCTTATCGACCACCGCCAGCCATCCTTTTCGTTATTTTTCACAGGGTGGCCACATGGCGTGGAACTAAAGCGCGGGCCATCTTAAGGGGGATCCAGGACCTTGGCGAAAACTCATTCAGGGTGGTGTCCGTCGATAGGTTTTTATTTTTTTTTTTTCCCATCTTTAGGGGAGTTTAGTTTTGCTGGGGTTTGTTCAAATTGAAGGATCGCGAATTTATTTTGTTCTATGTTCGAGGCTTTGGTATTTATTTTGAGGGATTTCTGGGATTTGAAATAGAGATTGGTGGATTTATTTTTGAGTAATTCTAAGTGTTTGGTATTTAATTTTGAAGGATTTCTGGGATTTGGGACAGAGGTTGGTGGATTTATTTTTGAGTAATTCTAAGTGTTTGGTATTTAATTTTGAAGGATTTCTGGGATTTGGGACAGAGGTTGGTGGATTTATTTTTGAGTAATTCTAAGTGTTTGGTATTTAATTTTGAAGGATTTCTGGGATTTGGGACAGAGGTTGGTGGATTTATTTTTGAGTAATTCTAAGTGTTTGGTATTTAATTTTGAAGGATTTCTGGGATTTGGGACAGAGGTTGGTGGATTTATTTTTGTCTAATTTCGCTCTTTTGGTATTTATTTTAAAGGTCTTCCAATATTTGTGTTAGAGATTCGTGGATTTATTTTTGTCTGATTTCGAGTATTTGGTATTTATTTTGAGAGATTTCTGGGATTTGTGACAGAAGTTGCAGAAATTCATTTTTAATTAATTTCGAGTTTTTGATATTTATTTTAAAGGTTTTCTGAGATTTGCCTCAGAGATTGGTGGATTTATTTTGACGAATTTCTGGAATTTGTGACAGAGGTTGGTGAATTTATTTCACAATAATTTTGAGAATTTGGTATTTATTTTGAAGCTGTTTTGCTATTTATAACAAAGATTGTTGGATTTATTTTTTAGTAATTTTGAGTTTTTGATATTTATTTTGCGGGATTCGTTTCTTTATTAATGTTAAATCATTGATATCCAACTTGGAAGTTTTCTACACTTCGAATTTAGAAAGTTATCGATCCATCTTCTATCAATCATAAATTACTAAATTTCCAAAATCCAAAAAATCGAAGCTTCTCAAACATCTTATCAAAATCCACCGTGATTACCAAATTTTATATTCGCTTAGAGTCAATTTTAAAATAATAAAAATTTCAAAATTTCGAAATTCATTTCCCGCCTCTTACTATCAACACTCCAATTCAGATTGCATACCTAATTTAGTTCAACGCCCCAAATTATAATTTCCACCGTTAAAAAATTAGATAATTAAATACAATTTTTGTACTTATAAATTTTAATATATAAATTTATATATAAATTTTCCACCGATTTCTCGGAAATTTTCAAATCTTTAAGCTGCGCGAGTCGCAACGGATATCCGCGCCGAGCCACTGGTTTCCGGTTACGGCACTGTCATCGATATTCCTGCGGCATATACACCTGTGCCCCGATTGCGGAATTACGATCGACCATAACGCAATTTCGGCAGGGAACACGCGAAATTGCTTCTCTCGCACGCGCGACTCCCTTCCGCGTGCAAAAGGGGCTCTGTTCGTCGTCACCTCGTTTTGTACTTTAATTACGACGATAATGGCGGGCAGAGCGACTTCCGTTTCACTCTGAAAGTCGATCGGGAGAGCCTGGAAACCTATTCCATACCGAATCCTAGCTGAAAACGTGGGGAAAAATCCAAGAAAATTTCTAACTCGCCCAGTACGTCTAAAATAATCTCGGAAAATTATTAGAATAATTAAAATAAGTAAATAAGCAAAATTTCCCTGCGAATTTCTCTCTTTATTTATCTTCGTTCCCTTTTAAGTTTACACCTTTAATTAGTTCTTTCATTTTTCTCCTTTGTCTATGTACATGTTCGATTTAAACAAAATTATGTCGAATTTTACAGCGTGCTCAATCGACAGATTTTTGACGAGCTTCTCGAAGTCGGGGAAAATTATTTCCAATTTTCCTGGGAAATATAATACTGGGTACGAAGGTTGTAGAAAAAAGAAAGAAGGTAAACGTACACGCGTGAGATCAAAGGGGTATTCTAGTCTAGAATTTTCAGGAAATCAATATCTTTTTATTTCATTTCCTGAAAGTGTCTTTGAAAATATTTCTACCAGTGGAAGTAGTTGGATTTGAAAAATTAGTGAAGTTATGTACATATTTTAAATGCGTTTTTCTCGAAACCATATTTTTCCAAACAGTTGCCATGATATCTCGAGTTCTAGTCGACTAATTGTGACTAAATTTGGAGAGTACCTTCAGCACACATATCTCTATCGTCCATATTCAAATTTTTAAAATATAATGTTTGTAACTATTTTTTTTGGCACCCTAAAGTTGAAAAGGGCATAAAAATTGATAACCTAACTTCAAAGCGTTGCCAAAAATTTTCTCTTCGATGTTTTTGTACACTTTTAATATAGGTGATAGTTACGTTCATACTGAATAGGGTGGATATTTGTTTGTCCATTTCAGAGAAGAAGAACAGCCGGAATGATGGCAACCGTGCAAGCATGTTCAATTAAAGTGGTGCTACTGAAGTAGCTGTATCTTCAACAATTTTCAATATTTTTTCATGAAAAAAATAGTGTATACTCCTTAAACATAGGTCAAACCCATGCCATAAATTTCGATTCAATAATGTCTTTATGGTTCTTAAAAAAAAATCCCAAATAGCACCCAAGGAATTAATCTCTAGACTAGAATACCTCCTTAAAGTAGCTATACATCAAGACTAGATATAGACAAATTAATCACTGAGGAAAATCCACTATGATCTTCGTTAGAGATCCTAAGACACGACACTTGATACACATGTCTAACAATCAATATTTCGTGACAGGAATCACGATCAACGGAGAAGATAGATCGCGCTATTGCACTCCATTTTGCAGTTTTCTCGTTAGTCCAACCATAATTTCCGAAAAATCCTTGATAACACCAGTTTGTCTCAAAAGAAGTTAGCAGTTTATTTAACGATTATGGTCGCTGTTATGATTTAGGGCACTGTGTTAGAATCTAGTGATCCTGGTGGAGTCTTCTCCTTCGTCTTCCTCGCGGATGGTCGCCTCGGTTTGGGTCAGTTTAGGGTTGCTGGGACTGGCTGGATAGATTTCGTCGTGAGATCTGCGGCTGGTATTGATGTTACCCTCGACGTACACGTCGGTCTCGATGCAGTCTCTGTCCTCCTTCGGCTTCCGCTTCCGGTGACACTTTGGCCGCGCGTACGTCGAGCTCAAGTTGCTCCGCTCCACCACGGGGCTCAGCCTTGACTGCAAATGTAACTTCCTCAATTCTTAACGAATTGCTTTCCCTCTGACGTTACTGCAAAGTATTCGCTATCTTGGCAATGCTCTATAGGGTGTTTCAAAATTCACGCAGCAAGTAATTTTGATGGAAAGAATTGGTCTTTAATTAAGATTTGGAAAAATTGCTCAATAACGAAAACGCGTTGTTTCTTCATGTAACGCAACATTTTTAATAACTCTGAACTGTCAGCTATCACCTTGTCTCTTTCTTTTCATTGGTAACACTTCACAGCACAGATGGCGTAAAATTCAAATCTTGCGTGAATTTTGAGACACGCTTTATTTCGCTAATTGCAATGGTAGTTGGGAAAACGGGTCACAATTTCGTATTTGGATTTTAATTAGAGTAATTAATTATTTTTTTCTGGATTTTCTACTGTGTGAAAGTTGTCTTGGATTATTGCAATCTGAGTGGGTAAGATTGAAATATGGGGATCCTTAAAAATTGGGTATTTTGGGACGTTGCTAAGTAAAGTATCCGCCATTTTGGAAGTATTCTACTTTGGAAATCGCGATGATGGTTGGGAAAATGGTTTAAGTGACAGTTTCGTTTTCTTTGAAAAGACAATTTCCTAATAGTTTTCCAAATTTTTCTTCGATTTTCACGTATCATGTGCGAAATAAAGTGACAGGAGCGCAAATCATATATGGATACTGCGCAGTTAGCCAATATCGATTATAAATTCTAGATTTCTCCTGTCAATTGCGATATTTCGTCTACATAGCTTCGAATAGACAATGTTTTAATAATTTTCCCAATTTTTATTCGAATTTAAAGTAGCATGTGCGAAATAAAGCGACGTGAGTGCAAAATGTACAAAGTTACTGCGCAGTTAGCCAATATCGATTATAAATTCTAGATTTCTCCTGTCAATTGCGATATTTCGTCTACATATCTTTGAACAGGCAACTTTTTAATAGTTCTCCCAATATTTCCTCGATTTTTACGTGCTTCATGTACCATATTTGATTATCCACTAACGTAAAGATTTAAATTATTAAATCTGTCTTTTAAACCAAACCCATTTTCAAAATTTCATATTGCATTTGCTTCATAATCAGCAGACTTTCTACTGCATATGAAAAAAAAGAAAATTTTCAAGATACCCGACTATCCAATAACGTTAATTATTAACATTTCAATGATTAAATAATTCTTTAACCAAACCCACTTTCGAAATTTCGTATTCTATATATTTTTACTATGATCAGTAGCTTATCAATTAGGCTAGGCAAAATGCAAGGCGAAAAACGTGGGAAAAATAGGAAAAAGCCTCACGTCCGCATCCTCGATGCAGACTTGCGGTACCGTGTAGGTGTTATTCACTTCTCGCATCTCAGAATGGTATCCATAATTGTTGTATCCAGGTATCCTTCGCGTGTCAGATCCTCTATTCTGTCCCAGATATTTCTGATTTGGACTGGAACTGCCGTAATAATTCGGATACACCGGTGTCACCTGCAAATTCGTCATGCTTCCTCCTCCGGAGTGCACGTAGTCGTAAAATGGACGATTCTGTCGAATAAAACGTCCCTCGTTATACTTAATCGCCTCACTATACCGTGTGACCAATTTTCTCTCACTCGAAATCGACAGTGATCAATTGCAAATTATGGAATTATTTTAAAAACGAATTTTTCTAACCCTTCTTGTAGTCAGGGTTCATAAAAATGTCGCCATTTTGGTGCCCTCGGTGATCCATAGATATTCATTATGTACAAATTCACGCAAATTTTGAATGTTTTCAGACAGTTAGTATAAAATTTCCATTATTCCAAATGTGTAATAAGAAAATTGTTGGATATGTGATTATATAAGATCGTACTCTTATCTATAGTACGTTTATCTTGTTAGTAACAAGATTTCGTAATATTGCCCAGTTATCTGCGTTGTTTGACATTTTTCAGTGGCCGATGTTCGTATTATTTTTATCGTTCTAAGCAATTTCAAATCAGACCATGACCCCAGTGAGGAAACAATCTCCAATGATGAATTGCAAACGCATTGATCGCTGTTGCTCGAGAAAGAGTCGTAAAAATTCCAAGACTAAACAATTCGAAGAAATATCGAAATAAAAAAAAGAAAAAATGGTAACTGGTGAAAAAATGGTAATGGAAAATAAGGAACAGAAAATTCTTCGTTAAGACTATCGTCTATCACGTGACATAGAATTTATATATTATAAAATCCTTATTATAAAATCCAATATTTAATCCAATATTTCTGTACTATACCCGCTCAAAAAAAGAAGAAAACCTGCAAAATAAATTTTCATAGAAACAGGTATGAGGTAATACGATATTTCCAGTCTCCTTTAAAAAATAAAAAAATGATGAAATTGAGAAGAAGGGTACAGGGTAACAGAATGCATGGTTCTGACCTGTCTGGCAAGGGTGCTGGTCCTCGGATCGGGTCCCAGATCGGTGGACCCAAACCTCTGTACGAACTCCTTGCCCCTGGCTATATGCGTGACCATGTAGTAAGTCCTCGGTATCAGGAGCCCAATAATGATCATATAGGCGGTGGAAATAATTCCGAAGCACACGACCGTGTCACGGGACTCCGGTTCCACGAGGATGAAGCAGGTGAGCCAGATGGCCCAGGCGATCAGTAGGCCGATGGATGTGCCAAAGAAGCACTTGCCCTCGCGATAATTGCGCGGCAGTTGTGAGATGAAGAAGCACACGATGAACAGGATGACTAGTAGAAATATGTCGTAGCCTGGAATCATTTTTATTCGCGAATCTTAGGTAGTTATTCCCGAAACCTCGTGATGAGTGGTATCACGAGGACATGTCATAGGAATCACAGGTTTCCAAGGAAATATAAATATATAAATACGTGTACCTATGGTACTGGAAAAGTTGCATTTATTAAGTTAAGAAGTCTGATAATTTGGATATTAATTCAGGATTAATTTCGACGATGTGTGTGCACGTTACGTGTCTATAATTTAAAGCTAGAGCTATGGGTCAGTGTTATTAATTTATAATTGGCAGTGCAGATCGGTGAGATTAGTTGCGAATTAGTGTCACAGATCAGGAGTATTAGCGAAAATTATTATACGAATCGATGTTATCAATTTAAAATTAGTGCTTCGATAATTCAAAATTGGTACTATGGATGTTAGTGACATCTGTTTAAAACTGATGCCACAGATCGATAGAGCTGGTTTAAAATTATTTCCAGGGATTCGTGATTTTTAAAGCGATTCCAAACTTTTGCTAGAGTGTGTACCTCGGTGTCAGTGGTTTTATTAGCACTGTTACGGAGGAAATTGTGTTTTAATGTGGCGATAAAAAGGTGCAAAGGCCGTAGAAGACCCCCATAAGACAATGAAAAATAGCAAGTAGAAAATAAAAACAGGATGCAAGAATTACTCCCATAGGATTCCAAACAAAGCTTAAAAGTAGGAAACAAAAAGCAGAATTCCCGTAGAAAGCATAGAACAATCTATTGTTTAATCGATAAAAGCTGTCTAAAGAATAGACTACACGATTACCCTATCGTCAGGGTGAGCAGCATTACGCAAGATGCATAACTAAAACTCGAAGCCCCTGCAACAGCAAGGATTAGGAACTTTCTCTACAAAACGCAGCCGTTTAGGAATTAATCGTAAAACGAGCTTAACGACTCCGATCTCTCTAAGAAAAATATTGGAAATTGGAAAATCTGTCTTACCCAGGAGTGCGATGAAGATCAAACTCCTGACGACCACAGCTGACTCGTGAGTGCTGAAAACGAAGAACATAACCGACATGGCGAGCTGCACGCAGAACATGAAGAACACCATGAGACCCTGAAGGTAGCCGTTGATGTGAGCAGTGAAGACGCCACCTTTGGAGAAGACCAGGAAGAACGCCCTGGACAGCATGACGGAGAAGTCCAGGCCGAAGGCTAGGGTGACGAAGAGGATCTTCCTGGAGTTGAGTGGCTCGGCGCCTAAATAGTCGTCGTTGATGCAAAACGGAAGCACCGTCTGCAGGGTGAACACGTTGGCCAGTATCAGGACGATCGTTAACGCTGGGTTCCCATCGAGAACGTCCTCCACGATGAAGCGATAGATAATGAAGACGGCAATCACGCCGCAGGCGAACGTGCCGCACACCACCACCGTCAGGAAAATTGCTATCCAGTTGCCAGGCTTTAATAAACCCCTGTCCAGTGTATCTGCAACCACGCAGCACTGTTACCTTGGCTATTGTGCTCGAGTATGGTGTTTTAGCTAGGTTTAAATACGATTTGGAAGAGGGTTCATCCGGAGCAGGTCAGGGTAACTGGCTTTCAATCGAATCCTTGGATTTGCTGAATTTCATTTTCATGGAGTATTGTGCTTTTGTGGGAAATATTGGACTTTTGTGTATCCAAATTTCAGCTTTCAAATCTGGTATTGATTCTTTTATTTTGGGGGTTGCGAGAGATTTAATTTTTATAAAGTACACTTTTGTGTTTCCAAACGTGTGTTTTCAAATCTGGTATTGATTCTTTCATTTTTGGGGGTTGTTAGGGTATTTCTAACTTTGCGTTTGGTGATCAAAGACTTCTGTGATTGGGCTACCTATTTTATTTGGAATTGGAATTTTTTGGGGGAGGGGGGTTGCTAGGGATTTAATTTTTATAGAGTACATTTCTGTGTTTCCAAATATGTGTTTTCAAATCTGGTATCGATTCTTTTATTTTTCGGGGTTGTTAAGATATTTGTGGTTCTTCGTTTGGGGATCAAAGACTTCTTTGATTGGGCTACCTATTTTATTTGGAATTGGAATCTTTATTTAGATACGTCTTCTGGTTTTGCAGTTAATCAAATCAGAAGTCTCTGAGACTGCTTTTTTGATTTTATACGTGGATGGAATTCTTTTTACCAAAAATGTAACTTATACAGCAGTCCTTATCCAAATTATTCACTCATCTGGTATTGTTAATTAGGATTCTTATTACAGTAGGAGATTAGACTGTCTACTCTATTTGGAATTGTTAATTAGAATTTTTGTTAGAGTATGTCTTCTGGTTTTGTAATTAATTACACCAGAAGCTTCAAAGACTGATTAAAATTCTTAATTCTTTTAATTTTATATGCGACCAGAATTCTTTTTTCCAAAGAAATAGTTTATACAGTAGTTTCCATTCGGATTATCCTCTCATCTGCCATCTTTAATTAGGATCCTTATTATAATACGTTTTTCTAATTTCGTAATTAGTGATCAGAGATTTCTATGGCTGATCAATATCTATTAATCTTCAACCATGAAAATCTCCCGAATATCTACCCATCTACAATCCAAACTGCTGTCAATCCCCTATCTTTGACAGCAGTTTGGGTACTGTACCCCATGAAGGGAAGAAATAAACATCCCTGGCAATCGCCATTAGTCCACGAACCTTTGGTCACACCACGGTGGCCGAATCTCTTCTTGAAATTCGCGCAACCCTCGCAGTTCCTCGCGTTCTTCTTCAGACACAGCCTCGGCATCTTGGGCACCCTCGACTCTGGCGCGATTTTAAATTTCGAGCTCGCCGGGTCTATCCTGTACGCGGCCATGTCGACCATCTCCTGTTGGCTCTTCATCGCCACGATGTACTTGATGGAGTGGGATTTCGGCAGTATGCGGAGTGCGTTGTACACGTCCGCGTTCCTTATGTCCTGTCGCGTATGTGGGTTGAAGCGTGGCATCACGCAGGACGTCTCCATCCCCCGAGGACAGTTCCGTTTCTGAAGGTCCTGCAGCAACTGAGCCAATTCGACGATCGCCTTCCCGACACCTAGTAAATGCGGCGAATGGATCACGGGACTGTTCGCAGGGTTGAGGAATCTGTCAGGTGATGACACGTCCTGGAGCAGGTCCAGGTTGAACGGCGAAGTTCGTACGACGTACGAGCCTGGGGGAACTAGGTCTGGAAAGTGAGATCGAATTTTCCGATGAGTCGCGAACTTTGCGAGGCCAGAGGGTAGTTAGGGTTGTTAGGCTGATGGAATAAGGGTACATAATGATCGATGGCAGTTATGGGATAGCAGTGTCGATGTTAATTGAATTTTAGATTTTCAAGATTCTTATTGATTCAAGAGGTGAGATGGGAAAAGGGTGGATCGTTATTCGATGATAGAGTTTCTTTTTGAATTTAGTGTAGGAGATATTCTGATTTATCAGAAGAAAAGGAAACCCTGGATTTGGCACTCAGTAGTGCCAATTGAAGGTTGCCAATTTTTCTAAAAATTATTATAATCTACTTTGAGTATAACCAATTTCTCTAAGAGTCATGGGATTTTGGGTGTACCTAATTGTGGCAAAAATTAGTGCAGTTTTGGGGATTATTATAATTAATTTTCCTTAAAATCATTCTCACCATCGATATTGGATCCATCGATTGGCAGTGCGATCCAGGTCTTCCTGGATCCCTGTAGCTTCTCCCCTCTCTCGATCCACTGTCTCAAATCGTTCCTCTGTCCAATGACAGCGATCACAGGTTCCGTTTCATCGTCCTCCAGCTCAAACGTGTCTCCGTAATTCTTCACGCAAATTCCAGCCTCCTTCGTTGTATCGAGGAACAAATTCAACGCGAAGTCGTGATTCACCAGGAGCAGATCGATAGTTTCGAACCTGGTGCTGAGGTAGTGGACCATTAGATTGATCAAGGGCCTTGTCAAATTCTGCTCGTTGTACGTGCTGATCGGCAGCACGCTGTAATTACGAAGTGGCTCCAAGATCGTCGTGTACTCCGATGGCAACAGTATCCCCATTTCGTATCGTTCCGTGCAATCTGCGTCCACGGTTGTTTGTATCGCTTGCTTGTACACTGATATCTCGTCGTTGCACGTGTCGAAGATTTTCAAGCCTGGAATAATTCGTAAAGTTTGCGCGAAGGACTCCCACGACACGAGGAACAGTTACACCTAACTAATTTTAATCCACCATCACCTAGACTCACGTAGACTCACCCAGCAAGAGTCCAGGGATAGATTCGTACTTGTTCAAAGCATGCACCACGTACGAGGCTGTGAAGACCTCCTGCAGCCCAGTGTTACTCGTGACGTTGCAGTAGAGGCCATGATTAATATCCAAGAACACTAACCAGACGAAAGAACCCATTCCCATTAACTGACCACCATAGTCTCCTTCGTAAACCACGAGTCAAACTTCTTACCAGACAAAACAGCGTCACCAGGAATCTCGAACAAGCTCTTGCTCTTCAAACACGTGTTCTGATCCTCCATCCCTAGAACCGTCTGTACACCAGCCAGCAAAATCACCAAGACCCTTGACAACGTCATCCTTCCCCAAACACCACAGACTAGATCACCTAACTACGCTTCTGTCTCTTACAGAACATCGTGCAACAGTGGTCAACGACCAGGCAAATTGGCCAAAGGTTTCCCGTCATCGTAGCCTGTTTAATCGATAGCCTGTCCAAGGGTGGAACAGTCTAGTTCTCACTCGATCCCATCGGTGAGAAACGCCATTGTCGATCGAAATCTCGCGATCGGAGCAAAGCTCCTCCTCCCTTTGCTTTCTTCCTTCTCCTTTTTTTACGATTATCGAGATGTTCCTCTCATGATTTCGCCCCGACTCCCCGAGGAGTCTTCCGAGACCACCCGGCAGAGGGAGCTTCGCTGAAAATGGCGGCGGGACACGCAGCACGCGTTACTTATCGCGATGAGGCCCCACTGCGATCGGATCCATGAAATCGCGTGATAAGCGCCACTCCGGGGATAACAATCGCCATGGAACACGTCTCTTTACGATTATCGTCGCCAGCATTTCAAGCTAACTGCTGCGTGCACCGGCTGCTCCTACGATCTAGATTAAGCTTTTTCCTATCCCGTTCATGGTTCCTTCTTCTGTCTCTGCGAGGTGAATTAGATGGGACCCGTTCTTAACCGGTGAACTGGTTCGAGCTGATAAAACATCGTCGACGAGGTTCCTCGTGTCTGTTCCTTCCTATCTTCGGAACGTAATTCGATTATGGTCTTCCTTCCTGGTTCTCCATCTATCGTCCCGGATCGAGGTTAGCCCACGTGGTGATTCATTGTTCCCTGGAATCAGGATGATCGCGTTATCGATCGAGTCTCTGTACTAGGTCTTCCGATAACGATCCAGTCTCTAATATTGGCTTAGCTACCAGGTTCTCCCAGCTGAGTCTGACTACTCTTTTATGACAAGCACCGCTTAAGGCCTCCGTCAGAGTCGGTGAACAATTTTCGAAGGCTAATCTCTAAGAAGACTCACCCAAAGCACATCCAGAAGATTAGTACCCTCGTCTGTACACTTGGAATCCCTCTGGCTCTGTTACCAATCCAGAATCAACCTGTCAAGTCTGCACGAGCGTCGAACCACGTCCACCAGTTCCAAATCCACCTATCCGCTGGAAGCCACGGTAAAGTTCCCAGGTGAAGTCCGAGGGACTGACTGAGCCGCTTATTTTTGGCGGCTGTGGAAGTTTCGTGACCGGTGCGCTTTGGGGAGCAGCTGGCGTACACTGCACACGACAGTGACCACCACGGAAGCCATACCTCGGGCCCTCCCCCTTCTAAACGTATTACACGTTCAGTCACGTTGAGGTCTGCAGCCATTTAAGCGGCGCACGTATGGTCTAATTGACAGCCGGGGTCTCTTGTTTCTTCGCGGCGCAGGGTGAGCGGGGAGCTCTCTTCGTCGATGATCGAAAACGACATCGGCTGATTCTTCGCCTGACGAAAGGGTAACCCAGTTCCAGTGATCCGTGTCGATGTCCTGGCTCGGTCTGTGCGTCGTTCAGTCACGCTTTTCTAATTTTTATGCAGGGTTTCCCCTGGCTTCTCAGCCTGTCATCTATTTGGGTATCGAGTCAACTGGGTCCACTCTTTGAGCTGGTATTGCATTTTCGTTCTTGTGGAATCAAGACGTACTATTTTTGCTTTTCTTCGATGAAGATCTTCAGGAAACGAGGATCTTGATTTTGGAAAAATTTTTCTTCTTGCTTTTCTGTCAATTTCTTTCTTGTTATAGTGTCAGGTTCGATTTAGAGTCAATGCGAAGTCAGATTTTAGTCTTTTAGAGGGGGTGAAGGAGTAATGGAATTTGATGGGGAATTGCTTTTCAGAGGTTGATCTTTCGTAGTTGTTTTATGGGTTTAATGCCAAAGGTTGGATTAGATTTTGCGTTTTACTCGGTGTGAATAAAACGATACGTCTATCTAAAATTCCTGAACAAACAGGCACCTTAATGGACAACCAAGGTCCCTGCTCGGCGCGAGAAAAAGTAGGTGAAACGACGTGGTTTAGCCTGTTGCTAATTATCAGATTATGAGCAATCGTAATCGAAGGTGACAGGGTACAAGGTCCCTCGCCTAAAAAAAAAACCACGACCTACTTTTAAAGTCTCCTATTCCCTCTCGAGGCACGTTTACCAAACTTTCCGCCATTTTTTCCCTAGATAATCAAACTGAAATGAAATCCCTCGATAAAATTATACAAACGTTATTCTATCGGAAGAATTTTCGATACTTTCGATTCTAATAAAAGAAACGTTTTCTTTCTCTCTTCTAAACTTTCGATAAATTATTTCTCTTAAAATGGAGAGAAAAAGGCATGGTTATTCCTGGTGCTCCAAGAATATCGAATATCGATATTCGAAATTAATATGCACCCGATTTATGTACGAAATTTAATGGAAAATACATGTGTAACGGGTCTACGTAGTCACTCGAACACATCGGAACTTCAAATTTCGTCCGCGGAGGGCATGAGCTTCGAAGAGGTCGCCCTGGAGTTCTCTTCGATCTGTTTGACTGGTGGCGCGACCTAGGAGCCGACTTATGCGCGCATAAAGGACATGGTTTTACATAATTATATTCTAAAAGTGGTGGCTTTTTCACCCACGTTTTTTACCCCATCGAATGCGAAATTTCTTCCGTACCAATCTCTTCGCAGGTTGTTTTTGCCAATTTTATTATGCAAATGTGTTTATCTTCGAAACTACGCTTTCTCGTGTCTCTTGAGAAATGGTGATATTTTTTCCGCGTATGTGGTAATATATTTGACGTATTTCTTACACGTGTATCGAATAGATTAATCGTATCTTTCATTGTATAAATCCTTAGCGAAATGTGGCAGTGGCATTTTATATCGCCATTAAAATTATTGACAGGTAATCTAAATATACTGTGCGATAAATGGCTTAATGAATATTTTAATGAAAATCGATATCAACTTTGCCAAAAATATCTAAAATATGCTACTTTAATTTCTTCAGTACTTCCTCTGTCGAATTTTTAATATTTCGTCTAAAATTCTTTCATAATTCACACCTAACCTTTAAATTCAAAATATCTAGACGTGGAGTATTATTTTTATTATTGTCATTATTATTGTTTTGTATTAATTCTATTTTCAATTGTATTAATATATCATCTTTTTTTCTAAGATTAAATTCCCTAAAAATCGCACTTTTCAATTATCTTTAATTACAAAGTATGTTAGATTTTAATTACATCGGCAAAATTTCCGATTGATCATCAACGTATCGAAAATTATACCAATTGCAAGCTCATTTCAAAGTCGCAAGTACTCTCTTTTCGTGCGCAGACGGACCGGTCATTGTCGTAGAACCAGACGACTCCATCAGGGGCCCTCGGTGCATTTTCAGGCGCATTTCCATCGAAGCTGTACGTAACAAAGCTAATCAGGCGATCGATGCAATTAAGGACAACGATTACGAGGGAGATTCTCTTTATTGTATCTTAATTAACTGCCGCGATAACTTCAATCACCGCTGTTTGTCCTTTTGCTGCTGATTATCGTAACGTGTGGCGTGTCAAGGCCGACCCATGACGCAACTGTGCACTGTGGCGAACGATTTCGTGTAGAGCAGACGACAAATTGCCGCGTTATTGTCGAACGACATCTCGCCCACTTTGAACTCCGGATTCACCGCGACCTGAAAACGTAAATATCGGCTCGATCACGTTCTCTCCTATGGTATCGCGATTACCCGGCTTCGCCACTGGCCTTTATGGACCAGATTCACTGCAGGCGATTTGATACGGGTGAAAAAGGTGACATACTCCCGATGTTGAACCGTGATCGCCATTTCAATCCTATCTTCTTGCACTCGCGAGTTCATTTTTCGGGTAAATCGTATTTCGTTTCTCGTATTTTGTCGAGGTTATGAGATTTAATAGGTTAACGTATGTAAAAGGTTAGGATAAGTACAAACATAACCTTTTCTTGTGAACTTAGGACATCATTTTTGGGGTAAGTCGTGGATATTTTTTAAGTTTCTTTGAGGTTATGAAATTTATCAGGTTAATGTACGCGATGAATTAAAAGGTTAAGGTGAGTACAAACCTAACCTTTTCTTGTGAACTTAGGACACCATTTTTGGAGTAAATGGTGGATATTTTTCGAGTTTCATTTGAGGTTATGAAATTTAGCAGGTTAATGTACGTGATGAATGGAAAGGTTAGGATGAGCACAAACCTAACCTTTTCTTTTGGACTCGTGAATTTACTTCTGAATAAATCGAGAATATTTTTGTGTTTTGTTGAGGTTATGAAAGTCAGCAGGTTAATGTACATAATGAATAATAGATAATGAAATTCTGAATTGAAAAGAGGACTACCATTTCAACTCAATAATTATTATTGTCCCTTTTCCTTTTGAAATTAGGCACTAACAATTTTATTATGTAAAATACTATTATACCTATTAAAACCTAACCAGCGTGCAATATGTTAATATTATGATAAAACAGCAGAGATACTTATTGCCTCTATCACTGTAACGCGAGTTAGGGTACCCTTACACCTGGGAACCCAGGTGTCACCAAACAGGGTGACGTGGCAATCAATCTCTCCCTTTAATACAACTCAAAAATCTATAAAAATAGCAAATCAAATTTCCTTTATCTCTATATCGCGATATTAAAATTCAATCTACTTGCTCCAAACACCCCTCCCCCCTTTAATATTCAAAATCTCCTCAAACCTCATATTCTAAAAACGAACATAACATCACAATAAAACGGTCACTACTCTACAAAACAATAAATAAAAAACCATAAAATAGATTGCTCCATCCTCAACACCAAAATTCCCCATAAACCACCCCAAATAAATCCCCCTAGACTTGCATACCTTGAAAATATACTCGCCACTTGGAAGCTCCGATATGTCCACCCACTGGCAATCGATGTTATGCTTGTATATGTCGCTGCAGTTCACGGAAATGCCCTGGTCACCATAATTGGCGCATTTGTACCTGAAATCATGCAGGGCCGATGCGCCGGTTAATTGGCTCGCCAATTAGACGTCGTCGGCGTCGGCGCAAAAAAATGATTTTCGTGGATGCGACGTCGACGTGGCCCGCGGGAACCGATCGTTTCCCTAACGAGTCTGCTAATTGCGTTTACCTCGCCTCCACTCCCGGCATGCATTGATTGTCCTCCAGGCAAAAGGATGCTTTGTGCCCCTCCGCCAGCCGTGTCCCGTTCAGGTCCAACACGTCGAACGTGGCGAACACCTCCATCGAGTGGTAATGCCTGTCGTTAACAACCGCGTAATGCGGAATTAATGATCGAGCAACGAGGCACTTTGATCGGGTCGGGCTGTTCGAAAGGCTCGATCAGAGATAAGACGAGTGGCTGCTCGGCGAAAATCAGCCGAGGGGACGCCAAGTGCCACGAATCGATTTTAGTGCATCGAGAGAGATGCAGCGACGGAGTTCGTTAGGGGGTCTTTTCGTGGATTTCGAGGTTAGAGATTTTCCTTCATTTTGGGGTATGTTGTTTTAATGTTCCAGGACGAATTCGGGGATCGGAAGGGATTTCAAGTTTGAGCTGGATGGAGATGGAGATGAAGTTTATTAGAGGTATACAGTCTAGGGATTTTTTGGTGAATTTGGAGGTTAAGAGTTTCTATCGATTTTCCGATATAACGTTCGAGTGTCTAAAGGCGAATTTGGAAGATTGGAAGAGGTTTAAAGTTAGAGTTGATAGAAGATAGGGATATAGATAGAGTTTATTGAAAGTACATATGTGGTTTGGGGATTTTTTGATAAATTTGGAGGTTAGGAGTTTCTATCGATTTTGGGATATAACGTTCGAGTGTCTAAAGGCGAATTTGGAAGATTGAGAGAGGTTTAAAGTTAGAGTTGATAGAAGATAGGGATATAGATAAGGTTTATTAAAAGTACATATGTGGTTTGGGGATTCCTTGGTGAATTTTAAGGTTAGGAGTTTCTGTTAATTTGGGGATATAATGTTCAAGCATTTAAAGACGAATTTGGAAAATTGGAAGAGGTTTAAAGTTAAAGTTGATTGAAGATAAGGATATAGAGAGAGTTTATTAAAAGTACATATGCGATTTGGGAATTTTTTGATGGGTTTTGAGGTTAGAATTTTCTACTGATTCATAGAGAGGTTATTTAAATATTCGAAGTCCGTTTTGAAACTCTGAAGAAGGATTAGTAGAATTACCATATCTACAACTATATTACTACGTTATTATACTAATACAAACTATATTATATTATAACTACTATAATTATTCTATATGCACTATATTCTAATTTTGAATTTAGAAGATGGGATGGGCTTTAATGCTGGAATTTATGATACATGATATGGGATCTAGGGACATGAACACACGATCTAGGGATTTTTACAATCTTACTCGATTTTTGTTCTATTGAAAATCGTTTAACGATGGGTAATCCCTATATTGAAGATGTTATGATAACTCTGAGAGATAGATGCGTCCCATCGATCTTGTAACGCGTTATTCGAGAAATCGAACTCGATTTGGAAAAACTGATAGAGTCTCAGCGAAAAAATTGGTTAGATGAGGCCACATCGTATCATAAATTCTCAACTCCTGATATACCATTCGAATTGTGATTAAATACCGAAATTCCAGAAAATTATTCGAAAATTTCTTATTAATCCAGAATGACTCGCAAATCCTCGCAATAGATTATTCGGCTGGGCCAGACCGACGAGACCGAAGGAGATTTAGCTGCGGACCTCGCGGAGAATAAGTGGCTCGAGAGTTTTCTCAATTTTTTGTGGGTATTAGGATGAGTGGTTCGTTCTTGAGTCCATGTTACTCTTCCCGACGACCTTAAATCGATTTTAGTCGACTTAAGAAGCTTCAGGGATGGACTTTGTTGGGAGCATGCGGTCCGGGCCACGGTATTCTTAATCGTTTCAAATTTCTTTTTAACTAAAGCTAAAATGAATTTAACCAGGAGGCAAGAAGGCGCACCGTAAAGCAGCATTATACAATTGACGTCAGGGAGAAAGTTTCCCTCCGAAAGTGGCGAAGTTGAAAAGATTAATGACAATAAGAGAGAGACCGTGTTGCGGCAACTGGCCCGATATTACTCGTCCCCCTTTCAGACCTAATAGCTTTACAAGACTGTTTGTAGTAACACAATGAAATGCCAGCGAATTTAAAGTCACTCTTCGAACTTTCCAGAAGTAACGACATCCACTAAGTCGTCGTTGAAACTTTTGTAAAATTAAATGACTGCCAGTCCCTTTACCATGCATTCTTCCTACGTTCTGGACTTAATTAATCTAATGTCGTCGGTGGTAAATTAATTATCGAAATTTACAATAACAATTGATATTTCCTCTTCTGTCTTATTAACAGTGGAACTATTAAGAAGATCGAAACGAATTTTTCCAGTTGTTAATGCAACGAATTTTTATTTTTGAGGTTATTCCAAATATATAGTTGCTTCTGACAAGGTTGATAGTGATTTTTCTACAGATAAAAATAATTTATTTATTAAATTTATTTATTATTATCTATTTATTAAATTTATTTATTTATTTCTTTATTTTAATTATACCCATTCGATTGTTACTATGAATACATGACAAGTCAATAATTCTAGTGTTAGGATTCTTTCTATATAGTTGGTTCCAACAAGGTTGATAGTTATTTTTCTACAGATAAAAATGATTTATTTACTAAATTTATTTATTAAATTTATTTATTTATTTATTATAGTTATACCCATTTGATTGTTATTATAAATATATGACAAGTCAATAATTCTAGTGTTAGGTTTCTTTCTGTATAGTTGGTTCGAACAAGGTTGATAGTGACTTTTCTACAGATAAAAATGATTTATTTATTAAATTTATTGATTTATTTATTTTAGTTATACCTATTTAATTGTTACTATGAATATATGACAAGTTGATAATTGTAGTGTTAGAATTCTTTCTGTAGAAAAGATGGTAGTGGTTGGAAATGCAGTCTGTTTTTCGGCCAGACTAAAGTAATTTTCCGCTACTCTATAATCTAGACATCACTCACATGTGGCACATGTGCCATTCCCAGAGGTGTTTCGGCACTGACGGCCGGAAGTCCGCGGTCCCAGCATTCAAAATCCTCGCAGTGAATCGCAGAAGCCTCCTGGTCTCCAGGTGCCAGTTATCCGACTCCTTTTGGATCTTATAAGCCTCTGAAGCGACACAGTTCTCTTCCATAGCGCACTGCAGCCAGTATAATTGCCTGTCCTCGAGATGCGCAGTTCGCATAAGCTCTATGTGGTCGAATACCAGGTCTGGCATATCTCGAAGGCACACCACGCTGGCCACGTTCTCTACTGGGCCTGTGACATGGGTCTAATTAGGGTGGATGAACGCGAAATCGTTTCGGGAAAATGCGATAGCAGACGCGACTTACTCGAGAATATTTCCACTATTTTCCTCTTTGAAAAATAGAACAATATTATTCTTAAAACAGCTCAAACACTAACCCTTGAGAGGCGACCCTCAGTCGCCATTTAATTACAATAGATTCTGAAGATCGATGTTAATATATTAAATTTAAAATTACCCAATTATTTATAATTCGAATCACTGGTCATCCCTCCCCAAACAATTGATTCTTCCTTAAATAATTAAAATAGAAGAAACTTCTATTATCGTTTTCTACAGAAAGATTTCTGAATAGTATAGTTAAACATATAATTATAATTATGTAATTATAGTTAAAAAGAACTTTTCTTTTTCAAACTTTTTCCATGAAGTCAATCTTCAGAAACTACTTTATTTTTAATTTTTATTATTCATAATTTTAGACTGTCATCATCTCCTTATAAAAATCAATTTTTATTATCGTTGGTAATCTAACTAAATTTTATAATTCAAATTACTAACTCACCTCCTCTCCCAAACAGTTGATATTTCCTTAAATAATTAAAATATAAAGAAATTTCTATTTTCCTATCTAAAAAGAAACTTGTAAACAATACATTTATAAATACAATTACAATTAGGACGAGACTTTTCCTTTTTCTTCTTTTTTAAATTTTACCACGGCGAATATCTATCTATCGCTGTTTAAAACTCCCGCCTCGCTCCGCTAATCGGTATTCCCCCTCCCTCCAAGGAGACCGGGAATCCGTCGCGTCCGCCATTCCAGCGCGTTTCTCATTACCGGAACAAGAGAGTCGGTTCGTTCCAAGATCGTTTCTCCTACCTGGACAATCTAGGGGCTTGTCGTGCAGACAGTCGATCAGGCCGCTCTCATCCCCGTGACACTGTGCGCCGCTGATGGCCATAGGTATCCTCTCGCCTCCGAAAAAGTTCGTCTGAACGGCGTCGGAGGCGTAACCGAGGCCCAATTGCCTGCAAACCACCGAGGCCTCGAACAGGGACCAACCATCACCGCAGACAACACCCCAATCTGAAATAATGTTACCTCACTGGCCCCCTTTTTCCCTGCTTTCTTCCCAATTTTCTCCTGCCCTTCGAATCCCGTACGACTCAGGCAAAATTGAGAAGTTATTAGGTGGGGTATATAATAAAAATTATTAGGCGATTTTTAAGGCCCAAGTTGAAATATAATATACGAAAATCAAATCTCTTTTTCGAATTTTCGTGACTTTTGTAATCAAAAAGAAATTTCGCAAGAAATGGGATTCAGGATTTTTCTAATGTCAAATTTTATTGTTGCAGGTATGGTCGAGATCACTATAACCGTAAGTAGCTACTTGAATTACTTAAATTCAAAATATAAATTACAATAATATTTTAAAGTTATATTTGATACAATTATTAAACAAAATTCTTTAAAATAAGTAGCAGTCGAGGAACTGTGCTGTCAAGTGAATTTCAAAAAATGGAGCTATTGGCAGAAAATTGTAAAATAATTCGAAATGCAAGGGGATAACGAAAGGATTAGAATTCTTCAAAAATTGCAACATTTATCGACTTCTCCATGCAACCAGAAATTCATACATTCGGTAAGTCACTGATGTCACTGACCTAATAACTGTCAAGTCTCTACTCAGCTAAAACTTGCAGGACAACGATGGAGAAAAAGCAGGAAGCGAAAAGGAACTGAGCCTCTACTCAGCTAAAACTTGCAGGACAACGATGGAGAAAAAGCAGGAAGCGAAAAGGAGTGAGTGATCTACAGAGTGAAGGATTCCGAAATAAATCTGTCATATGGTGTACCCACCGTACCTGAATTCCCTAGCTTGACCTCGACTCTGCCTTCGCTGTGGACACGGCCCCCGGCCAGCCTTATCGCCACTCCCTGCTGATGGACATCCTTGATTCTCCGTTTCTCCGGCTTCCTTTTCGGCTTCGACCACCTCGTCGACCCGTCGTCCTCCTCCTGCTGGTCACGAGCGCAAATTACACCGGCGGCCTCGCTGCCCTCGCAGTCGGAAACACCCCATCCGTCGAACCGACATTTCGAGAGCTCCTCCTCGCTGCCGTCGCAATACACGTTGTCCATCCAGTATCTTCCTGGAACGTTTTTAGTCCCTTTTTTGTCCTGGTCCTTTAACCCTGTAAACCTCTCTGCAACCCTTTGCGGTACCAGGTCATTGGGAAAAGTATGGGTTAGGTTAGAAGAGGATCTTTCTTGTCTCGTGGCTGAGGAATGTGTGAAGCGAGTGTTTGCAAAGGCTGTTTCAGAGTCGTGTATGTGTTTGTGGGATTTGTATTTGTCGTGGATCTCTCTGTAATCCTGTGGACATGTCTGTGATCCTTTCTGCAGTCCTATGGAATTTTGTGCAACCCTGTAAACTGTGGAGTTATGTGGAGCTGTTTGTAATTCTGTGAATTTATTTGCTGTCCTCTGGATATCTTTGTAAGCCTGTGAATTTCTATAGAGCCTGCGAATCTTTCTGCAGCTCTGTGAATCTCCCTTCGACACTAGGATGCTTTATTGGGACCCTGGGAGAGTCTTTACAACCCTGTAAATTTCTCTGTAGCTCTATGAAATTGTCTATAATCCTGGGAATTTCTCTGCAGCCCTGTAGATACCTCTGTAGACTTGCGATCCTTTTTGCAATCTTGTGAACCTGTCTATAATTTTTTGAATTTTTATGCAGCCCTGTATACATTTGTGCAGATCTGTGATGCTTTCTGTAACCCTGTGAGCCTCTCTATGAGTTTGTAAATCTGTTTGCAGTTCTGTGAACCTGTCTATAATCCTGAGAAATTCTTTGTAGACCTGTGATGATTTCTACAATCTTGTGAACCTCTCTACGAGTCTGTAAATCTCTCTGCAGTTCTGTGAACCTATCAGTAGTCCTAAGAATTTCTCTGCAGTCCTGTGGACATGTCTGTAACTCTGTCAAATTTTTGCAAGCCTGTGACTTTCTATAAGGCCCTGCGAATCTTTCTACAACTATGTAAACCTTTCTTCAACCCTGTGAACGAACCTCTGTACAACCCTGTAAATTTCTCTGCTGTTAACCTGTCTCTAATTTCTTGAATTTCTCTGTGACCCTATGAACCTCTCTTTGGCCCTATGAACCTCTACGATCCTGTCAATTTCCCTTATTCTATCAAGTTATTAGAAAACTATGGATGTTGGTCGGAAAACTCTCATTTCTATCACTCTCTATGTAACGAATAGTGAAACAAGTGTTCCGCTAATTTCTTCGATTTCTTCAATTACCAGTCCACTTGCGAAATTATACAAGTACCAATCTCGAGCGGAATGTTCAACAGTGAGAACTTCCAACTACCTCTAGTACCTTTAATCTCGACTATGATTTTTCTTTACTCAACAATCCCCATGTTTCGCAACCACCTCGATCAACGAGATCACGAAATTATCCTGTTCTCGTTTGCAACCGAAAATAACTATTTTCTCACAGAGCCTGACTTTTCTTTGCACGATAATTCCAGACCATCGACAGTCCCCGTGATATTCTTCGAATAGGTGAAAACAGGCAGAAACAATGGAAGAGGCTCTCGCCACTTTAACACCCCGTCCAACAGGGTGGAACGGTTTTCACGTGACCAGCAAGGTGGGGTCGATCTGACCCCGATTAAAAGGAACAGGTGAAAAGATACGCCTTGTCTAGCTGGATATACGAGTGCACTCGCGTTCACGCTAGATTAACCTATCGACTATCGGATTATTTCGAGTCTTTTGCGCCCCGATGCAAAGTTCCGTAATAAACTACGTGAAAACGCTGTCCACCGAAATCGGATGCACATTAAATCCAAGCCACGATTAATCGAGCACTGAAAACACTAAAAAGGGAAATTAAAAAAGATAAAAGGAACGCGAAGCTTGATTGGAAAAGAAGATATCAGAGAGGTATATATACGTGGAACCGCAAAGGATTAATTTCTCCATTGTGATCGCGAAAAGGATCAGACTGGATAGAGGGATGAGCGATTTATGTTTGCAGGAAAGTCCGGCAATATCGACTAAAGGCAGTTTCCATTTATCGTACTAGATATCAATTTTATCGCAAAACTTAATTAATATAGTACACACATATTGTATAATTCGGAATTTTTGTTCCTCCATTTTGTGAACCGTTATGTAAGTTTAGGTCCATGTGCTGAAAATTATTTTTCAGAATTCATACTTTGTTTTTTGGAAAAGTCAATGAGGTTATCTTTTAATTATATACGTATTTTTATATAACCTATCAGGAATATTAAAACACCCTAATTTCATAATTTAGTTTGTACATTAGTAAATAATAAATTCCTTTTTATTTTTAATGGGAAATACCATTGTTTTCTTGCTCGTTAGAAAATAAGTAATTAGTAATAAGACTTTTTAATTACTGAATGAAAATCATAGCTGTTCGCGAAGAATATAAATATAAGTTTCAAAATGGTGGTTACAAAATGGCGAAGTTATTCGCTGTTCCCCCAAGCCTTTTAAATAGCACACGATTGTTAGCTGTCATATAAAAATTGGCAAATATTGAAACATCAAAAACAAAAAGATTCTATTCGTTCACAAATTAGAAGCTATTATCTAAAATATAGCTTACGGGTTTTCCATCTATAGTAACTCTAGTAAGTCTATGGTGACTAAAAATAAATTAAAAAGGGTTCTTAATTTTTGCCCAATTCTTACGTTAGAAATTAGCCCTATTAGATTTTCTCAGAGAGTACTGTACGGAATACTTTTGTCGTCCACTGTACGACAAAACTCAGGGGTGTCGCCACTGCCGGACTTGCCCGCACCCTGACCCCGAAATAATCGCAGCTGATCCACTCTGTGCCTTCGGTACGGAAACGATCCTATTTATTTCGCGTTCACATGGTCAAGTGAGAGAGAGAGAGGGAGAGAGAGAGGAGGTATTGGCTGGAACGAAGAGACAATATTATCTCACTTCTGGCCTGACCGAAGTGACCGTTCGCCGTCGGTTTAATTGCACCGTCGAAGCCTAATTGCCTGCAAACCACATTGGCCTCCAAGTAATCCCATTCGTCGTCGCACACGCTGCCCCATTTCCCGTCGTGAAGTATTTCCACGTTTCCTGCGTAACCAATCGAATTATCAGCTTGCACGCGCTGTTTTCCGGTCGCCCGCGTGTCTGGCTAATGGCGGAGTTTATGGGGTTGCCGTGATAATTGCTCGGTTAAATGGCTGATCTTTCGTTAGATACAAATTGCTCGTCAGATTTGTTTTTTCCTGTTTTTTCTTTTTTTTTTTTAGGAAGAGGAGGGGATAAATTATTTTGCGTAGAAGAATTTCGAAATGGTGAACTTTTTCGAAAATTGTGTGATCGTATCGATAATTATGAAATGGACTATGTCCAATGTTGAAGACTTGGAACAATTATTTTGTCGTCTGTTTTATATTGAATTGAGTTTTTCGTTTGCATCGTGATAAAATAAAATTTTCTTTACTTTTTTAAAATTGTACTATTACTTATTAGGTCGAGTATGTGATTTCGTTGTGATTAAATTTTTTTAAGATACGTGAGGGACTTAGACTACTTTCGTAATTACCGATACCGTTAGTAATTAGGTTTAGGTTAATTAAGCGAAGTTTTGAAATTGGAAAATACTATTTTGCTTGCGAAATTGAACTTTAGAGTCTTCGAAATGTTAAGTTGATGGTTTTCTTTTGTTTATTAGCGCGAGACAGCGCGTTATTATTTATTGGACATAATCACGCGTTAATTGAAATTACGCAGCGACCCGCAAGATGGCGAAATGTCACCGGCCAAAATGGCTGATTAATTAATTTAAGAAAAATGATTGCTAATTCCATACTGGAAATACCGATATTATTCCTCGATCGAATCGACGTATATATAGTATAATAACGATTTGGATTGGAAATTTTCGAAATTGGGACAGATGATCGGAATAATTAACGAAATCAGAGAGAATTTAGATCGTGGACTGAAAGATAAGTTCGTGGATCTATATCACTCGGTTCCGAGAAGAAACGTGAATGGCCGGGAAGATTAACCGTTTTCCAGGGAAAATAGAGGAGAAACGTTGGACATGGGAGTAAAATCGACGAACTAGAAGAGGAAAGGGTTGGTGGGAATGTAATATCCAATGGAGGGTAATAAAAATTGACATGCGAACGTCTGGGACGGATTCTATCCTGTTTTATGGTCCTATTTGACGGTAGCCATCCCGTCTCGTGGCTCGCGGATCTGTGCCTACGTGACGTTTACTACGCTGACACACAGTCATTGACATAAATCATCCTCCAGTTGACCCCTTTTTAATCGTCATTGCACAACTTACATGAGAAACGGCTGATAAAACCGCGACGTTTCACGTAAGACTCGTTTTTACGCCAAACATTTACGTCAATTCCTATGCTCGTTGCTAGCAGTCTTTTATTTTAATCGGGAAACATCGCCGGGAGGAAGATCGGTAACTCCGGAACGCGCCAAATTTAAATTTCGTATAGAATCTTCAATTTTACGTTTCACACGATACAAGTAAATTCAAAATTTTCGAATAAAAATCGTTTAATAAAAATTTCTGATCGAAAAATATCATTGGCTACGAGATCGGTAACTCCCACGAGCGCGCCAAATTTAAACTTCGTAATGAACCCCTAATTTTACGCTTTAAATAATAGATGTAAACTCGAGTTTTGCGCGTGCAAATTTTGAAACAAAAATTGCTAGTTAAGAGACACCGTTCAACGAAAGATCAGCAACATCAAGAGGCGCCAATTTTAAATTTCATAGCGGATATTAAATTTACCGCTTTGCAATTTCCAAATTCGAATATGAAAAATGCAACATAAACGACTGTCCTTTTTATTTTATTGGAAAGATCGTTATCTGCGAATGGAGGGTTGCCAGACGAATAAAAGTCTCGACATTAAAACACGCTTTACCTTCGTGCCCGCCATTTTCGCCACCCACCAGCTTCACCGCTCCCTCCTGCTTCTTCAACTTCCGGAAGTCCTTCTTCAGTTTCTTCACTATCCGTGCCTTCTTCTCGCGAACTTTGTCCCAGGTGCTATTATACGCTGCACAGACGTCCACCAGCGTCAACGTCATCAGAAAACCCACCACTAGAACCTTCCAATTCATCCTGGATCTCATTCCTCATCTACCAATAGCAACTCGCGTTGACCATGCTCGAACGGAATCCCTAAAATCCCTATACGCGATTCTCTCAGTCACCTTTCATTCTCCCAATCCCTTCCTCGCGATTCGATATTCTCCTCTAACAACGATCGACAATCGTTCCCCTAATTTTCCTCTTGCAAAGAAAAATGGCACTATGTTTCTACCGCGACCACGGGGATCAGCTCAGAGCTGGAACTTTCTCGCGGAATAACGTCGTTCGGGACTAAAATCACCGCACGTGTATTTCGTTTACCGTACCACAGGCTACTGATGCGTGCCTCTGATCACGCGATGTAATATATTTGCTCCAGTTGTAAGACGAGGGTCGTGATCTCGAGAGTTACGCAGTGGATCATAATGTCTTCCACGTTGAAACCATTTAACTTCCTTATTTTACTTTGTGTTATTTCTCCCTATATTTTCACCACCTCATAAAAGAATTCTTGAAGCGTCCGCCATATTGAAGCAATCCTTCATATCTATGTTCTCCAATCTTTCTTGGATCATGATTTATGTTCTTTGACATGATAGTTAACTAAGATCTGGAAGAGTATATTACTATTAAAGGAGTACTTTATTATTGAGTAAATTTTTGGTTATGTATAGTGTAAAGAGCAATATGGTTTCTCCTGCATATCTTTCACGAATAAAAATTTCTAAATCGAGGTAAGCTTCTATATGAGTATTTTCCAATCTTCTCTAATCACGGAAATGTGATAGACAATCTATGGAAATGGAGATGGTCCGATGGAACGAAGCTGCAGAGTGCTGACAAGTTACGGAATGTTTGAGAGAAAATTTAAGCACGGTATTGGAACGTTTTCCTGGTCCTTCGTCCGACGACAGCGTTAAACCCTGTCCCAGCTACTTCGACGGCCAAGAAAATGGAAAAAGTTACAAGCAACTTCTCCCGTTTCTATTAATTCCGTTTACCATTAACGAGGGAGCTACAGATTTAAAATTCCTCCTTACCATTCCGCGAAATTAAACGAGAGATGGTCTCGGGTATCCGGAACCAATCTACGAGCGTAATCCCCAGAATGGGCCGTAATGGCAGCGTTTCGAGCGTTTCAGCGTGAATTTTTCGAATTCCATCGGCGCAACGTCGCCCCGGGGATTCGTTATCGCCCATGAGGATGACCAGAAGCGTGCACAGCGGTTTTTTCCGACACGAATCCGAGAGAGAATCGTGTGTCGTCGGTCTCGGCCGCGAACCAGGGCAATTCGATCTCGAAAGAAAAAGATCCGCAGCTTAGAAAGCCTCTGCGGCCGGAGGAACGTGGTTCTCGTTACTCGATACACCGGTCTCGTATCGTTGCTTGTTGCACAATAGTTAGCTGGGATCGTTTATATGCCAAAAAGTAACGTGGAAATCGTACACGAGCCGATTTAACGATCACCGAGTATACGACCACGTTTCACGCTGAAGACACCAGAATTGTGGCCTGATTTTGTACTCTTTTTACACTTTGAGGGACATTGGTACGTAGCAGTACGATGGTATTTCATTTGTAATTTGAGAAATTGGTACCGAGGACACGAATTTTTATTTTGTATATTTTTAATACATTTTTATTTCGGGAATTTTTGTGGAGTTGCAAAGAGTTGATAGAATTTGTGATTTTTATTTCACTAGCCTTCCGAGAATTCAGAGGCGGGAATTTAAGAGAGTTTGAGTGGGAAAACAGGAAATGGAAGGAATTGGGTCGCATTTTAAAGGGCGGAGAGAAGAGGTATGAAAAATCGAGATTTTCGTTACATTCGGAGGGGTTTGCATTCTTACGAGGGTGCCGAGGAATTAATTAAAAGTTTCTCGGGATTCGACGACAGTGGAATTTAACCGCGAATAATTTGAAATATGTGTCAACATGGCGCGATTTAGTTGGAAGGATTTAAAAGGACTTCGTGCCACGCTCATCTCGCGATAATTTTAATCCAATACATCCGGTCAATGAAGACACGTAACCCTCTTCTGTTCCGCAAAATCTACTTAACATTCCGAAGAATATTCCTCGCAGTATTTCTGGCTGCTAAAGAGATTAAAAAGGGACGTCGTATAGATTGAAATTAATCAGGTTAAGAGCTGTCGCAATTAAATTACCGGAATCAATGGACGCGCGAAGCATCGAACGCGCGATAAATCGTGGCAATAAATTTAAAAAATTTTCACGAAGGAACGTAAGTGCCGCGCGGCTCTTTTTCGCTGTTCTCCACTTGATCATGACCTCACCGCCGCCGCCACGAGGACGCTGGCAAAAAATCGCATAATTCGAGTAACAGGCCGCTTTTGACACGGTTCATTTCGTGGCGTAACCGTGGCAAACACGGCGGAGCAATTATCGTCAGCTATTAGCGAAAACAGCCCACGGCTAAATTCTTGACATACTTCCGATATGAGCCATCCATTCGGGGGTTGGAGAGGGACTTAATCCCCGGCCTGACGAAATTTCTCCACGCGAGTTAGGTTTCAAGCTGCATATTTCCCGAAGAAATTTCCCAACGCGAAATCTTGTTTTCCCGATCGACCTGTAATTACCAACTTTCGTCGGGCTTCCGAGTTACCTAATTGCATTTTAATTGAAAGATCACACCGCTACGCGGTTCGTTTGTATTTGATAAATCGACATCCGAATCCGGATCCGTAATGGCGGCGACGCCGGAAGTCGCGCGAGATGGATCGGTATATAATTGGCAGTGTTCCTGTGACTGACAGAGAATACCAGGAATCTCGGATATTTCAAAAACCGTCGAGAACTGAGAATATTTAGCGGTGGTAAAAGTTCATCCACGAATTCCGCTTGGTTCTTGCGATCCAGGAAGATTATTCCGCGGCATAAGGGAGAGATTTCTTATCTCGATGATAAATTACAAAATTGCAGGAGGATGAAGACCGGCGTGTACTCTGGTGCAAAAATGGATCGGCTTTTTGTCTCAGCGGCGACAATGGACATCGTAAATCGTGTTGCTGCGCGTAATGCGCTGTATCGCGAATACACGACCCGGCTGAATTATAGTTCTCGATGCCTTGTAACCGCAACCGCAACCATTAATGACATACGTGATTGATACTCCAGATGCATTGTTGCAAGCGTCGCTCAGCCGGGTTACTTGTTTCATTTTTTCCTGTCAGTCCGGCAAGGGGGTAATTTTAGAGGGCCCTGGAGGAATCGAAATTAGAGTCGGTGCGTAAAGGCGTGAAAAATACCGAACGCTTTTGCCGAGTACCCGCCGCGTCATCGCACGTCGGAGATTTCAACATAAAGTCGATGCACTAGGCTGGGATATTACAGTTCTGTTATTCCTTTTTCGAATCGTGCCTCGATCATGGTCGCATCTATCGAGCAATCGTTCCATAGATACGCGAGTAGCTCCAGGAAATTACAATGACTCGATGGTTTCCGCGCGAAATCGCTTTACCGACCTGTACGCGTCAAAAACGGTATTATGACTCACTATTTTTATCGTTTACCCCATAATTTACAGTCGTATATAAGCGCCGACGCAACGTAAATAGAATTGTGTTTGTTAAAAAAGTGTATTTACGATATAAAGTGTCGAATACGTTTCAAATGCGAATAGCGCGTTCAAATTTGCCCGCGCGGGCGACGGAATCAAGATGGCGGCCGCGAGGATTGCACCCACAGTCGGTACGCGAAGACGAGCCTAGGGACTCTACCACGCCCAATCGGAGTCGTCCGCGCGTCTATCTGTGTCTCTGTCGCACCTCTGTCGGGTGGCGGCGGCGTCCTCGGTGTCCCAACATGTCCCCTCCACCTAACCTTCTCATCCGTGGCGGTGCATCGCGACTCGAGAAGGAGCATGCCAGTCAGTCGGTTTTTATCCAGCGGACGGGACGGTGCGTGGCGGTCTGGTGCGAGTGGCAGCGGGTTCATACGATCGGACAGTACGAACCGTCCCTAGCTGCGTTTGTGAAACGGAAAAAAAACATCCACGGGTCCTAGCAATCTCAGGGACTCGGACAAGGCGTGTCGTTCGCGTGTGTCGATCCCCGAACGAGCTGAAGCAAGTGTGTGAAACGTCCTCGTGGCCGAGAAGGATCGAAGCTACCAGCGGAGGTGCAGCGGTCGGCCATTGCGCTTTCTTCGTGTCGCCGTTACGACCGCGCGGTGCTCTGCTATCGGTGTGTGTTATTTTATACCGGGTGTACCGAAACCGTACGTGTCTCCCTTCCCCGACTCGGGTGGCTTACCCCCTTGGAAAGCATCGTAAGATCGTTTACGCCCGTCTCGTGTTTCACCAAACGATGTACTGACTCGTGCCCATGACGTGCGAGACACGAGACGCTCCGTCGGTAACGGCGTCTCTCTCGTCTTTCTTCTCTTCTACTTTCTCTGTTTTCCTTTCTCGAAACGTATAAGATGTTTAATCGTACATCCCACACCCTTCGTTCGGTCGGACGATATCCTTTTCGCGAATTCATCTATTCTGACATCTCGTATATCCTTCAGTGCGCGTTACCTCGTGTGACAGATTTTCGAAGCCGGCGTCTCGTGATCGCTCTCAGTAAAGTCACGTTTCAATCACGAGAATATTTAGGCGCGCTTTTGGGTGTCACCTGCGAGCATTTCTTATCGGCTAAATGTTTCCAAGTTCATGGTCGAACAGATGCTTCTCACTTCCTCGATTATTACGCTTCGAATACGTCGTGGTATTTACCTTGTCATTAATATCGTCAAACTCTCGTGATGTTCGGTCTTTATTATTCCCTCGCAAGAGGAACGATGAAGAGAGAGGGTTAGCGAGGGAGAGAAACAGTAATACCGATGGTGTCAAATTAAGTTGTTCGCTCGAAATACAGCGACGGAAAGTGTTTCCAGTCTGCGAGGGACAAAGGGCTCCCTCTGTTTCTCCCTGTTTGATTCTTCAATTTGATGCACACGCACAAGAAGCATTTTGTGTACCGGGGAAACGCGTCTGCCATTCCACAATGCGTCTCGATTCGCGGGCAAAAGTTCCTTCTCCCTTTCAATGAACTCGCCCGCGCTGCCATCGGCGTTCATTGTCTCTCATTCAATCGCCCCTTTCATTGGCGAGCTTTCCGCGCCTCTTCGCGTTGTTACATTACGTCGACAAGCCGCGTGCTTTTTCGCCGCGCTTCATCTCCGAGCGTTCCTTCCCCGTTTTCAACAAGAGGGGTACCGTTACCGTGAAAATTCGCCTTTGTCCCTGGAAAAGCATAGACCTACGTTGTCGCGGCGCGCGCTTTCTCCGACGGCCAGGTATAGGATTCTCGTCTGGCACGCATCGATGATGCATTGTTCGCTGTTTACTTCTACAAATTCTCTGACGCAAGCAACCGGCAAATATAGGTAAACAATTTGCATCTTAACAATGGTAATTCGCCATTTTAATTTTTCATCAAATCGTGCCTCTGTATGTTGCTATTCGAAGGTAACGAAAAGATAACAATATAACTTACTACTAGTCTAAAAAACATAGTATTCATTATCTTTAAATTAATAATTTATTTATTGCAGTATGGATACATATAAAAAATGCTTCTTTTACATGCTTGTGTAAGATATAAATTTTTCTAGTGTCTCAGAAACGGGTTAATGATTATTTAAAAATTATTAAACGAAATATTCGTAACTATTTTTTATTATTTAATTTCTGCAAAAAGAAGTATATGCGATAAAAAGATCTTCATTTCCGTATTATAACGTTGCGTATTTCCTGCGCGCGTGCCGTCGGACTTTTTATTGTCGCTTCTTGTCGCGTTGTTGATAGGTTCTTCCTGTCCAACAGACCGCTATTCACGATGATGCGGAAGAATTAATTTCTGTTTCTTTTTGTCCCTTTCGTTACTACAGTTTCTTTATAAATACTTTTCTATCGGTTTCCTATTTATTTCCCATCTTTCTCTATTTCCTTTTGTTCATCCTTTCTCAATTTTTTGCCTCTATTACTATTCTCCCCGTTCTTCCTGCTTTTCCCTATCTCCCTTATGCCGACGATGTACTGTTACGTTCAAAACGCATTACCGACTGACACGTCGCGGATGCTTTTAACAGATGTCAATGTTCCCCGTGTACATACATATATACGTGCAACGGTGGCCATCACGATTGATCGATTATTGGCAGTTTCTATTTCCGCACATAATCCGCCGCGAGCCAGTCGACAGAAAACAAATATCTCTCGATAGTTTCGTTCCCGGGTTCCGAACCAATCCTAACCCTACCCGACGAGCGTTTTATTTTCTTTCGACGCGATGATTGTTTCGACCGTTGGTAAAGGAGAGCAACAGAGAAGGGGTTAAACGTTACCGTTACGCAAATGCATCGTTTGGAAAGGACACGAACTTGGCGATAGAGGGAGTTTATTATTTATGAAGCGCGCGCAATTTATTCGTTTCTCGGTTGAAAATACCGGTGGCGCTATTCCTTCTTCCTCGTTCAAACAAACACGCCGGAGCCATCCAGTCTGTCCAGTGATTAATGCGATCGGCGTTTTTCTCGAGACATCGCAACCAGTAAGTGGTTGCGTGGCATGTGATCATTTACGTGGAAAGAGATATTACGTCTAGTCCGGGTAATTGAACCGTTGATTCGCCGTTTAAAAATATAATTATCGCGGGGAACCGAAAATGGCGATAACAGAGTTCATCGTGCAAATTGTCGCGTTTTTCGTGCACTTTGCTTTGGATATATGTGTATCAAGTATCTTGTATGTATATACAATAAACAGCGATGATTCTGGTCATCTAGAGACAACTGTAAGGTCAGAAAAAAAGAATTATCATTATTTCCTTTGTGGTACTGTTATTATTAGTGTTTTCCCTTCGTTATCGTCGTTGCTCACCGCTTCCTAATCCGGTTCTACGGTACCGGAATCGCGTCATCAAGAAAAACTGTTTAAAACCTTTAACGATCTTTGCTGTTCCTCTTCCGCCGCCATCTCCTGCCTAACCTCCAACTTCCCCCTTTTTTCGCCTGTTACTTAATTTAGAGTCCGTGTCGGGTTACCCATTCGTTAGCCGTCGCAGTTTAATAGGATTTACCAGTGTAATGTAGCAAGCTGTAAGAACCACTTTGATGAGAATCCATCTAGTTCGAATCTAATTCCACTGGAAATCCATTCGACGGCCATATTCGTGATTGGGTCGTATAAGAGGCGCGGAGTATAGTAAATGCAATAGAAACTGTAAACAACGGGGTCTAGTTTATTTTTACAAAAACATTTCTATTTATCTTCGTTTTACACGTAAATGATGAAAATTTTATCGAGAAACCTCGGAATATACGATGCCTTGAATAAATTTTGTAAAAAGACCACAGAGGTCGCGACGCGATAAGAGTTTCAATATTTAAGGTCGCGAGAAAAACATAGGTTATGTTCTCGATTTATATGGACAACAAATTTTCTTGCTCTATGCATAATACATGGCCAGTTCCGTCGTTGTGAGAGAGATGCATAAAGGGAGCGAGAGAGAAAGAGCATCGGTAGGAATCGAGTCCTGGAAAAAGTTATTAGATTACCGCGTCGGGTATTACGCCGACGGTGCGGTTAGTCGCATCGTTATCTTTATCCCCGTAGCGCACCTGCTGCGCGCACTATTCACGCACATGTGCGCGCCGGCAGTTTCACATGCAGAACGCGCGACGATAAGTGCGTGCGTCTGTTGCGCGCGGCAGATAAACCGGCAGAGGCGCGAGGAGCATGGTGATTTTTAAAATTCACTCACGCCACGCAAAGAAACGAACGACCGGCGCAGACGATCGAGATATCCTCCCGTTCCCGTCCCAAACAAGCAGTGGCGTAGCGAACACTTTGTGTGGTAATCGTCCTTCGATCACGTACTATCGACCGTATCCCTTCGAGAGGTTAGGTTAGGTCGCTCGCGCGACGGTTACGTTCAAAATTTCTATTCGCGGTGTTTCGGTGAAGTGTTTGTAAAAATTTTAAACGGAACGGTTGGCTACGCCACTGTGGACGCCTGCGAGTCCTTTCACACTAATAACACGGCCAATCTGAAATCTCATTCCAGAACGTACATCAGGGATCGATGCAAAGAGGAATACATTAAACGCTTCACGGAGCGGCATCTGCACGAAAGGAGACGGGATATTTGCAAATAGAAAAGTCCCCGTGAAAAGCGGTATATACTCGGAATATAGTTTCGAATTCGCTAGTAAACGGAAAATTAAATTCGTGCTTGTAATACACGAAAAATCAACGGCATTCTAAGTTCCACCGGCAACGTCAGCGATACGAAGCGAGATTTGATAGGAACGGAGAAAGGAAGAAACGAATCTGTGGGTGTTCAGTCTGTCGACATTCACGAATCGACGATCGGAGGCACGATTTGCGAAGAGGGATCTGGCGGATGCGCAGGCATCTCCCGCGCAGTCGTTAAAGTGAAAGGCGCTGTGCTACGTGCATACGAGTGTCGTGTTCGTACGTGAATCCGCGGAACACACGTGACATTTTTACGATGGCATGCTAACGCGCCACTAGGATCTGCTGTTGTAACAATCATTGGAGGCGATCGTTAGCGGTGTGTCTCGTGCACGATCTCCGCTGATATTTATAAAGGGGACGCGAGCGAACGACGACGCATCGTCGCACGTGATTACGACTAGTTTCTCCTCTTCCAATGTGAACGTGCTCTGCAGTCGAGCGTCGTCCTCAGTCATAGGGTGCAGGAGTAAGGGAGAAGGGTAACTCGACGTGTGGAACAAGAAGCGAGCGCCGTATATTCTGAATGCTCGGTTCCGTACAACTTACCGACTGCTGCATCCCCATGAAGCTTCTTCCGGCGCGCTTTTTTTTCGCGGGTAAGAAAGGGCTACGGTGCGGACACGCATCATTGTAAATGCGACGATCCACGATCGACACGGAAGAGGCTCACTAGCACAAGTGTTCCTTCGGAAACGTCACTCCTTGACCCTGGCAGCGTACACCGTGGATCAAGGAAATCTACAGTGTGACAAGTGAAAAGTCCGGTTTCGTGTAACTCGTTTGACGTGCACGCTTTGCTCGATATACATATACATATACATATACATATATACCCCGTGGCGGGAAACGACGGTTTTGACCGACAGAGGGGGCCAACGAACTCGAGTCAACTCGATAGGTGGTTCCTCTGGTGTCAGCACGAAACGGCGGGACCTACGCCGGACGACCTCGAACCTCGAACTCGACTTGACTCGACCAAGTCGTCCAGCGGCTTGCCGACGTCCTTCCTGTTGTCCTTGGTCCTCAGTGAAGGGGGACTGATCGGCCCTGGTGGTGTCCTGGGGTCGCAGATGGGAGCTGGTCTGCCACAGCCCGACAGGGTGATCAACCCCGGAAAACTATATCAGCCGTTCGGACTTCCGCTCGAGGCCTACGCTCATCTTGCTCGTCGCCCGCTAGGCTTCTCCCCGTTGATTCGGCCGCGTAAACTCGATCAAGCTGGAATTGATGGAGTTGGAGAATATCGTGGCGAACACTGTGTACCTCAAAGCGAGAGAAGGTGAGTGGCATACGATTATTTATCGCGTATACAATTGTGTCTATAGAAGAATTATTCGTTCCTCCCAGTCCCTGTCTTTTTTTCCATCGGCTGAATACTAACCTACCTTTACCTCGGGCGCGCGGCACCTGTGTCATTCGCCGGCAGCACTGTCGCTACCGGAACTATTCGCGTACTATCTTCTCGATGATAGCCATTTTTCGAAGACATACTTGTTTGTTTTTAGACGAGCTTATGTTCATTTATAGCCTTCTACACCTTTCAGGAAGCAATTCACGAAAGTTATATTAATCTTGATATCTAATCTTTCGTACAACTTAGAGGTTAGGTTTTATTGATACGAGTCAACACAAGTGTGGACTAATGTCTACCCTATGCTGAATATAGAATTAAGAGACGTAATCGGGTAAAATTGTTTAACTAACTTGTTGAAAAGTTGCTTATTATTGTTTCACTTATTATCGATTTATCGATGTATCGATCGAACAATAGAATGTCGTATATTAGGCTGAGAACCGCTGTTGTAAATGCGTTAAAAAAGGTTGTGTTGAGCATCGGGAGCTACATAGATACGGTTCCATGATATGAAACCCACGTTCAGTACCATCAACACTGACATTAAATTTCCGGTTCTTGTTCCATATCTAACTCATTCCACGCCATCTTATGTAATTGTTTTGTTACGTTGCTGCGATACAGCGCTGTTCTCTCGTGCGCCACGTGTTCTTGGCTATACGAAACACCGTAATGTGCCTTTTGTGCATCACTGAGATAGCGAGATGACTATATACACGGTAATCAAATATTTTACCACGCACAAAGTTGCTACTCATAAGACATTGAAACGAAAAGATGCAACACTGTTAAGGAATTATTCGAAAATTTTACACGAATTGTATTAGTGCATTTTGTGCATTATACTCGAGTATAAATTTTAGAAATTTATTGGAAAATGGTAATTACACGAATATTTCGTTGTGAACGAACCAAATTCCACGAAACATTTCCTATTTCATGGTCGTATCGCGACGGTTCTCTCCGTCGGTAAATTTCACGCGCGAACGGCTCGTAAGTTTTCATAAAGCGTGTTCCAAATTGTCTTTGCAGCAGGAGTGGTTCTAGGATAATTAAATAGTTTCCCGGTATTCAGCGATTTTGTGAATTGTTTTGCAAGTCCTCGAGCGTGGGACTAGTCGGGTGCTCTTAATAAACCTGTATTACCTAAATTCCCAAATTACCTAGCATCGAGTGTATGAAATATATTTCGTTTATTTAACATTTCGACAATTTTTTCGTTCGGTTTAATTTCTAAGGGAACGAAATTTTAATTAAACTAGATTAAAAAAAATTAATATACTCGTTTCCACGTCGCATTTCCAACAAGGCGACAAATTTAAAATTGAAAAAAGGGAATAAAAGTATACAAAAATGTTATAACCTCGTCCTATTCGTTATGAACAAGCCCCAATCCGATATTCCCACGAATATTTATTCGTCACACTCGTCGCCATTAGACTGCAGCAACCGACCCCAGGTCCAGGCTACTCTGTGCGAACGGTTTACATGCAAATGGCTTAATGGGAACCCGCGTCGCACAGGATCCTAATTAAACTGTATACTTTACTTTATTATGTTCTTGCTCTTTGTATCGCGTGCAATAAAGTGCGCATAGGATTGACACGAACGCGATCGCGCCCGCGCACCGTCGGTAATTGCAGATTTCATGCGGGGCCCCTAGGCGGCGTCGTTAAGGAAGCTAAACTTTCCTTTACCTAAAGCGTCCCGCGATACCAACCGCGCGGAATACTAATTAGACTAACTTCTAACACGGCTGCATGAACTGATTACAGAAGTTCTGTGTGTGTACATATACATACATACGCCATCTCGAGCGATTCTCCGTCCGTTTTGAATCGGAGATGAGTTCGACTCGGGCGGACGTGTTCTCGCCATTGTCGATCAAATATGGCCGTCGGGTATGTTCTCGCTGTATTGTTAGGTTAGGTTCTCACCGCGAGTTATTACGGGTACTGGATTATATAATATTCGCGTGATGGAATCGCTTTAATGGTTTTTAGGTTATGTCGATTAACATCGTAATATTTTTACTCGCTTTTGCTACCTTGTATTCGACGGATTTTACAGAGGTTAGGTTTTCGCTCTTCGAGGTTGTTAGTCACCCGGTATATGTCTTCCATTAGTCGAGTTTCCTGAAATTGATCGTATCACCGGCGGTTTTTCAGTATTTCAAACGTTAATTTCCAGTTTTCCAGGCGTCGTATCTACATCGAATGTTTCATAACTCTTTTTAACATTTCGTTCAGCCATCCGCGCGTACGTCGCTTATCAGATTTTCATCAGTGGTGCTACATTTCGGTAAATAATTTTCGCGCAAGATAGCACGTTTCCAAATTTTTATCCGAATTATGTAACGTCCATGTTGGAAAGAAATTCTCGAAACCCAACTACCTTAGTACCTTCGTAATGTTTGCGAATTATCAAGATATCACGCACAGATTAAACCGGGAGAGGGAGCCACAAAGGACAGAATTCCCAGAAGCAAGGAGAACGTATTCAATGTACAACAAAACAACCCCCCACCCCGTGGAAGCAGTCTCCCTTCGAAAATTCCATCAGAATCTCCAGCAGACTTATCGAACCACGATCCAATCCCGACGAACCTCCTCGACCATGAAGGAATCTCCGAGCAGGGGAAGTGTACCACCTTTCATCCGATTGAAATGCGATAAACCACAGGCAGGGACTGGAATAGCGGGGATTCCATCGATTGGTTCGCGGGGTTGGGTGCGTTGCGTGGCGGCTGGGTCGAAGAAGTGGCGAATTTTAATTAGCATAGTGGCGGCGCGCTCTCTCGTCCTGCGGCCAGGCGTCGTGAGAGGAGAGAGCGTGAGAGCGAGAGAGAGAGGGAGCCTGTTGCGTGGCTGGCACAACAGAAGTAGGTAAATGGGCTCGCGTGATGCGCCAACGACGTCAATGGGCCTATAATCGCATCGTCTCGCTGAACTTTATAAATATATAGTTGCGTGTGCATGCTTGCAGAGGAGCTGAGCTAACGTTTGCGGGAATTACGTAAGAAACCCGTTCGGGTTAATTGCGAGCCGCGAGGGTGTCGTTCTCGCCATGAATGTGGCCACTATGGGGCGGCGGACCACCGTGGGAAATGAAAGGTCAAGGAGGTGGAAAGATTACAATTTTCTTTCGGGGCTCCCTGCTGGAGGTACACTCCTGCGGGAAAGTACTCGAACGTTTACACGTGCCGGTTTTGAAAAGTAATACACGCGCGTTAAAATGGAAAATTTAAGACAATTGCGGTACACATAGCAGGGTGGAACTGTGGAGATTATGTTAAAAGCATTAGAAAATAATTCAACTATATGTACAGTACTTTATTACAAACGTGTTATACTGATGTTGACTTTTTGTGAATTTTATTTTTAGTCTTTTAATTGATGTATTCGCAAAAATAACGTATGTAGATGAATTATTGCACAGTGCATTCGACTTTCAATTTAGAGTATTTGTAGACGTCATTCTAAGTTTTTCAAATATTTTTAAAGAAGCGTAGTCAACGTAATTCCTGTTTACAGGGTGAGTTAATAGAAAAATAAGAATTTCTACTTTAACATGGATTCATTTCTTGTTGCTAATACCAGCCTTAAGACGATTTTCCACAAAACTCACTAGCGCCACCACGACCCGTAACTGTAGCCGTACCGCAGCTATCCTATATACCGTCGAATTGCTTTCTAATTTCACCGATATGGTCTTAGAACTTGCTTCTTATTACATGTACCATGTTGTTTAAAACATTCCACTCCTTAAATATAGCAAATTTAAGCGCTGGAATACTTTTGCGTACAAGTGTACACGCGGTGGAAAAATGAGGTTAAGCGAGGGGCGGTTTGATTAGGTGGAAGGGTTGATTCGAGGTTACTTCTCAAGCGTGGGTGTTCCTAAGGGATTCATACCTTGGGAATTTTGGGGTACGGAAAGGTTTATTTGATGGGGATCGAATGGGGTGCAAGAGAAGTGTATACGGCGTTGAGGGTTTTTCTACGAGAAAGATTTACGGATTCTAAAGAAAATTGCATTCCGTGGAAAAGTGGCACATGGAATTTTAGAAGCAAAAAAAGAAATACGAAGAAAAATAGTAAAGAGAGCGTTGTATGCCGGGAATTTTTATGGTATAGGAAGGTTTATTTGATCAGGACCGAACGGAGCGCAAGAGAATAGCACATCGGGCTGAAGGGTTCTTGTAAGGAGAATTTAGGAATTCTAAAGAAAATTGCATTGTGTGAGAATTGTGTATACGTATAATATTATAGAATTCTATAAATAGGAACCGAAACTCAAAGGAAAAAATGCCGGTTTAAAGAATTCTTCAAATTTTTACCCACGTTCTTCTGTATTTTACAATTATATTTTATACCTTCTTTCCAGTAATTTCGTTCGCATAATTTATACGATGTGTGCTCGCAAACCTGATATATTGCAAATATGGTAATAATTGTAATTATTTCGATGTTTCGTGTGAAACTTCTCATTTGGAGTTCCATTAATAAACTTCGTCTCGAATTTAAAAAATCTTGGAGATGTACTCAGGATGATAATCTTGCAGTTGAGTCACCTCGCAGACAGAATACATCTCGTTTCCGTTCCTCTGGAGATACTTGCGCAATTAATAAGTTGATAATAAATTCAGGATTTCCTGCTGGCACCGAGTTTTAATAATTTAATTGACTCTCTAGTTGCATTATTTATAAGAAATCGAGGAAGCGGCAGTGAGTTTCTAAATAGAACGAAACACTATTACAACATTGCAGCAAGTTGGTAATAAGCAATTCTCCTATATTCATCGAACTCACTGGTGTTAAAAATTATTTAACTTAAAAATTATTTTTCACTCCTTACAAAATTTGCTATCGTTAAATCAAGTCGATTATGTTACGATACCGTGTTACAACATTGTACCGAGTCGC